TATCAACAGGCTTTTTGCTCCAGTTTTGACTATCAAAAGGGGAGGACAAAAGGAAACGAAGGGATTCAGAAAGAGAAACTGCATTTTAGCTGAGGTATTGAATGTCTTCAGGGAAAGTTCTCCCAACAGTTATAATTTGTGTATCTCTGAAAGAGAATGACTTCTATTCTGGGCCAGTAAAAGGAGTCAATGCAAAAAGAAAACTTCAATTTACTAAAGAGGTCTTGAAGCACTAAAGAAATTTAAACAGTCAGTTAATATTGAATACAAACAAAGCTTTGGTGCAATAGTGAGTCTAACAAGAAACTGCAATAGCATCATTATACACATACTCACTGATGCCTTACACACCAGAGTCACTCAGTGCCCAAAAACAAGGTGCAAGAGAATTTTAACCAGGTACACACCCTAAAATTCTCCTTTTTCTCTGTTTCATGTGGAAGGAGGGAAACCGAAGTGAGTCTGGCAGCCAGAACGGGAACATTACAGTTTGGTAAAATGTCATGTAACCTCTTTCCAGAACCATGATTCCTCACAGGCAAACCCCTTCTATCAACCCAAAGGCAACCTGATGGTAAGGCTCCCACAGGTCCCAAAGGAAGGAGGTTTGCAGAGGATAGGAGTCCTCTCTAAATTAAGGGAAAATATTATTTCTTTCCACTTCTCCAAGGGTTCAAACTGGTTATTAGCTTAACAGATGTAAAAGTACCACAGGGGTTCCAAGCTTTTCTCCATTTAATCCAGCAAGGGAAAAAGTCTTTAATGAAGATCCAGACTGACCAGTCATGTAAGAAAACACAGGACATTGAATCTTGTTTTCAAAATATATACATTTTGAGAGGGGATTTATGTTGAGAAAATAAGCCATGATGTGTTGATCTGCTAGCAAATTATATGGGTTAATAATTTAACTTCTGTTTAAAAACTAGTACTTCATCAAACCTTAATTGAGCTTAGTCAGCCATTAGTTATGGTTCTTATTGACTTGAAAAATACATGGTGGTTGATTGTCCTGACATAATTAATTGCTATTCTATTTTTCAATAACTTAGACTCATTTGCCCAGGCTACTCTTTCCACAATGTTCAGAAGATATAATTAATATTTCTATCAATATTTTAAATAGACTTAAGATTCTGGGAACTACAAAGTAATAATTTTCATGGCTGAGTGGTCACAGGGAGACAAAATTATATTGAAAATTTTAATTCTGAGGAGATTTGATTTGTGAAGCAGTATATACCTTCCTAAGACAACTTTTGGAAGGTTTTACACTGAATCTCTAAAATTTATGCTGTTCTTGATGCTGTGGTGGAGCAGAGGCTGGCACAGGTATTTTCTCCTCCATCTTTCCCTGTGTAGCTTTGTAAGTCCTTTATAAACTCTTTAAGGAATATATTTGATTTTTTTTTAATATATAAATTCATTCCATTGTTTTCTTCTGATAAGTAAAATAGTAATTTACAGATGTGACTTTAACCGAAACCTGGAAAAATTATTTCAGAATTCAACTGGATTTTACAAGGCAATCAATGCTGTCTGATTCTCTCCCGTCTCTTGATCTGCAGTGTCCCTCCTGTACCAACACTTCCTTGGGTTTATGGCCTGTGTATTACCTGAGAGAAGATGCTCAAGACATGGTGGCATAGAAGGTGGAGGTCCAGAAGAGAGAAAGCGAGAAATAGAATACCAGAGCAGAATCACATAAAGCTCACCTTGCTAGGAAGTCAGTGCTTATAAAAGAAAAACTCACTTTATATCATACTGTTTTATTCAAGTGCATTAGTTTTATTTTTAGGGGAGAGTTGCACACACAATTCCAGATAAAGGCATTCTCTTCTCAATTTTCACTGTGCCTCAGATGAGCAGTTTATCCCAGAACTCACCTGCTCCTCCAAGTGTTTACAGAAGCTGGCAAAGGAGAAAGGATAGCCTGGAACCATTACCTACCAAGTTTCTTGTGCAGGTATTCTGAAGTAACCTGTGAACCTCCAATCCTTAAAAAAGGAGTTCCCTCATGCTTTTGGAGCAGTTCCATGGCATCTCCAAGCTCTTGAACTCTTTTTTATTTTTATTCATCTGAAAATAGCTCCTTAATATTTCTGATTGACTGAATTAATGCTTTTCAGCAAAGTTAGTTGGAAAATAAATCATCAAGCTAAAATCAGAAGTACATACTCCACCTACACCACTTGCAGGCTCCTGTGTGAACAGATGCTGACTTGACCTTCAGAGTACTGATGGCTTCAACAGTGGTCGGACATGCTGCACCCAGGAAGTCTCAGCAAAGTGGGGCTCCCTCAGAACGAGGAAAACATGCTGTCCTTTGAATCGTTAAACCATTAACAGATTATTATTATTATTATTATTATTATTATTATTATTACCAGGGACAGTGCATTAGGGATTCAGAGGTACATGTCCAACTCTTAATTAATGAACTGATCTACTCAGAGGATAGTGTGACTGCCCAGAGAACATGTATCTGCTGTCACATTGATGTTGCTAGGCAGCAGACAAATTTTTTTTGGATTGAAATTGAAGAAAGGAAATTGCATTTGGCAAAGTGTTACTGGGAAATGACAGTAGGTAGGTGAGAAGGGCTGGAAGCTTTGAGCCATGGAGAGGCAAATAACAGTGAAAGGGCAGAGGGCAGGAATGAGTTCAAAGGGGCAAATGCAGGCACAGCTGTGTGCTGCCGTCAGGGAAAGGAAATGGAAACTAAAGTTAAGAGCAGAAATCCTGCTGCCTCAACGAGGTGTCTGCCATGTCCCAGGATATCCCAGGATGTCCCATTTCATCACTATGACATCCATCTATCATCTCTCCCTCTATAAAAAGAAAGATGCACTTCCGTGTAGATCCCCTCAGTTCTCATCTGAAGGAGGACACGGGCCAGCTGCTGCTCTCACTCATCTGTTGTGCATTTAGCCAGGACAGAAGTTATTGCACCTGCCTTGTGTTTTGTCATGCTTACAAGACAAATGCAGTCCATGACATCTTCCTGACTTTAGATGGCTGGGGATGATCAAGGCCATGGGTCCACTGATATATTTTATTTTCACAAAGTATGCTTTTAACCACGTTTATGTAATTAGGAAACAGTCTGCAATCACTCCAAAGGAAGTGGAGAAAACAACTAGTTTAATACACAACCAGCTCAGGCTAATGCCATACTCCCACATCTGCTTCCAGAATGGGCAGATTTTAATCTGAACACTTTTCTAAACTTTTAGGTGCCTGAATGCTATAATTTAAAAATAATTTTCATTCCCCACTTTTTACCATATTCTACTTACCAATATTCTAATATTAACATGAAATGAAGGAGCTGCTCATACTGCATCATTTTCATTTTTGCCCTTGTAGTTTGTCACGACATCCAAACCAGACCTCTTCGAATAATTTGCTACTAGATTTTGCGTAGACAAGACATCCCTGCAACCCTTTCTGATAAACTGTCTGGGCAGTAACTCCGTTAGACTTGCTTCTGGACTTTTCAACTCTTTCTTGTCTACCACTTCTTTCTTTTTTTCCAGATTTTTATTAATTTAGTCAAAGGAGTTTAAAGTTAGCACAATTTCAGAATTCAGCAGCAGCTATTTGATGCCACTGACACAAACAGATTGATTATATGCCACAAGTACTAAAATATGGTATGAAAAGTTTACCCATTTACCAAAATTTTATTAAAATTATTAAAAACTTCCTCAGTGCATCTCCCAATTTAGGACTTAAAATCCAACCACTTTTTTAATATTCTCTGAGTTCTTATTCACAGAAATCTAATTTATGGGGAAGACAAACTATGGGAAGCCTACCTTATTGTTCAGTTTAGCTGCTAGAAGCAATTCTCCAGAGTTCATGGTGTCCAAACACCATCACACACAGTATCCCCACGTACTGCAGAGTGCGATCCCCAGTGGTGTCCCCTACTTTACCCCATTAGCTACTTCTCCTACTACAGTCTCTCATTTATGCCACAGTTTTTACTATTGCAACCAACCATTTCAGCTTAGTTCATGAAACTGAATGCTCCCAAAATACACCCAAAATTGAAGTACAGAGTTCAATCCTAAGAGAACTGTAAGCACCTGGAATTCATGGTGCATTAGAACCCCCAGCACTGACCTTTAAGCACTCTGGGTTATCCATAAAAATGCCTCTCCAACGTATGATCACTTCAGGACAATAGGATCCCAACTACAAGATGACTGCCTTCATCAATCACGATTATTGCCTTCATGAACTGACTTAGGTTCCTACACACTTTTTTTCCCCTTTGTTATATGCCATTGATTGTAGTTACTTTCACATCATGTCTTAAGTACCAGCCTAGTACCTCACTGACCTATAGCACAGTAGCTGATGATTGCCTGCAGAACTGCCCTCTGGAATCAACTCAAATGAGTGTTTATCTGGGTTGGTGTTAAGAGAGGTACAGTCTACACTACTTAGGGAAAATGTGTTTGCTTTACTGACACTTACCCTGGAAAAACGGACGCTACTGTATATTCTAACCACTGTTGTTACTATGGATGCAAATGCAAATCTGTTTTTACGCTTAATACACTGTATGCCAGCAAGATCTCGTGGAAGATCCCTGCAAATGTAAACACTTACGTGCACAGTGACCTACTTACATGTGGGTTTGCACATACCCATATAAAGTATGTACAAAAGCTGTATTCAAAGCCTGGAATTTAAAATGATTTTCAGGCAGTCTCTGGCAGACTGAATAGAAATGCTGCTCGACAGTAATTCATCCAAATTTTATTTAGTTTTAACGTACAGAGGTTTTCTTTTAAATTACAAAGACTTACACCATGCCAAGGACTTGCCATTGTATTGATTTCTTGGGGAATTTTGGTTTGGATTTGATGGCATTGGTAGCAGCCCATATTTTGAGTGGATAACATCTAAAATTCAGTGTCATGATGTTCAAGGATTTCCACTGATTTCTAGACACACACAAAAAAAAAAGATTTCAAGGTCTTACATACATTGAATGCATTCTGTTTATTTGAGAAGGAAGATCTCATAGGAGTGCCCATTATGGAAGGCATCTCTTATCATGTACAATAAAATCAACCATTGCTTCCAGCAGAATACAAAAATACACATCTCAGTGACTTCCATACAATAATAAATACGTAATCATGCATCCAACAATAAAAAGGCACGGAAAACTGGTCACTTAGTAGTCATAAAAATTACTAGCTATATTAACAAAGCCACCCAAATTATCTGTACAAAGAAATGTAACAATATATTCCAAAGGTGAAAACACATAAAACATCTTTAAAATAGTATATGCAATAAATACCTCAGTTGTTTTTATATATTAAAAATAAAACTGTGCCATTGTAAACAGTATGTAAACAAACAAAATTCACTGTTCCTTACCATTATTACAAGTAAATAAAGCCAAAAGTTACACCCCTGCTCTGTTAGATATACTTCATTGGCAAGTTTTGTCAGGCAGTTTAAAGTTTTACTCTTTTCTGCAGCAAACAGAGCCTGCTATGTGTGTAGTTTTAAGTATTAGAGCAACTGCTAAGCTTCAAAACTGACTATCCAGGACGTAGTAGGTCATCAAAGAGAACTGGAACTAGGAAAAGCAATTCTTGGAGTGTTACGGACAAAAGTAATTTATTTATACTACATATAATAGTGTCAGTAAAACTTAGCTGCTTATATAATGCTGCTCTCCTATAGGTCTTGAGGGGGCTGTACAGAGGTGAAGAGCATCCTTATTCCCACGGGTGGAGAAAGTGAGGCACACAAAGGTTAACTGAGTTACCCCCAGTCTTGCACCAGCTCCATGGCAGGAAAGAAAAGGCAGAATCCAGACCTCCAGCCACTTCTTCCTCATTTCCTCACATATCACAAGGCCTTTCAGACAAATATACATGTGTCCTGAACTCTAACCCTGATTAGAACTGCAGAAAGATAACCAACATGCAGAAGGAAAGGTGTCTGCTCTCTTGGGTGCCCATCTGCTCCCACTAGCAACCATGAGGCTTGCCACCAACTGGAGTAGGAGCATAGCAGGAGTTTTTTCCCCACAAATTTGTAATTGGATCCACACTAGAAGACTAGTGAGCCCAGGTGGAACCCCGTGTATCCTCCACAAGCCTACTGTTTGCCTCAACTCTATATTCTTTTGAGGTCTGTTCCTGAAGCCAACAAACTCTTGGGAAGTTCAACCAAGGTGCATACTTCCCTCCTTAGTAGAAAGGGGAAGAATGGGAATCTGAATATGATCCTTTCTTAAACAAAATCATAGGAAAAGATTCCTGGAAGTGGTGGGCATTTGCACAGATGTCTTCAGAAAGAGCCTCACGAAGAAGTATGTTTGCCTTGCTATTTCTTTTGATAACCTTGGCATAACTACCTCATTTTACAACTCTGACCATCCCTGGGAGGACTATGATGGATATAAACTTACCTGTTCCCAACACATATATTTCAAAGTGCATGATAGCTCTTGTTTGAAAATTATATTTTTAGCCTTACATGAAGAAATTAGGATGCATCTATTTAGCTGTTTCACAGCCTTATGTCTTTTTACAGGAAGAATACACTTTGAGCACACACAATTAAAAGATACCCTGGCAAAGGATTTAGGAAGCACTGCATTATGGTGTTTTTCCTCCCTTGTGCTATTAAAGTACTGATCCTTCTGTGTCTAGACAAGTGATTTCTCTAATGTCAAGCAGTTGTCTGATTTGCCTTACCACTTTATATTTTCATCATTTTAATTCATCCATAAAATACTGAAAGTCATTCAAAAGACTGGCTCTGAAGATACCTCCATGTCTTGATGAGAAGTTTAAAGCCACATACTTACTGTATAACATTTTTTTTTCCCAATAAGGTACTTTTGGATAAGGTACCTCAAGTGTCTCATTCCAGTTCCGCAGAGCCAGGTGAACTGCATGAAATCAGTAGGTATACAAATCAGACAGGACTACTTTTTATTCATCGATTAATACTTCTTCACATTCACATGCCACATTGCATTCCCTCTTTGTGGAGAGAGGTATGAAAGGTAATCTCTTCTTAGATCTGTATTAAATCTTACAAAAGTTATTTCAGAAGGTGTTTTCTTAGACATACTCAAGGACCAGATCAGTGAAAAATCCTGTACATTCTCTGAGGCATTTATTCCCACCTATGTTGTAGTTTGCAGGTTCTGTAGAAAAATCCAAATAGTAACTGCAGATTTCACATTGGGAAAAAATAAATATATTTCACTCATTTAAAAAAATTATCACAGTAGGAAAATAGCCAGTAAACAATAGATTCAGAGAGGTTTAATCTTGGCCTCAGTGAAATCAATGGGAGTTTTGCCAAGGATTTCAAAAAAGCCAAAATTTCACCCAGAATCATATACAATTCTTTAGCTGACAACAATCATAAGCATCCTGCCACTCCATTGTATAATTTAAATATTAATAAGCATCTGTAAACATCCTGAAATTCATCTGATATAAAAAATACTATAATAAAAACAATGCAGCATCTCAAGCACTGTATAGTTTTAAGGTTTTTTTGGCTCTACACACAGGTTGGTGTCATTATATTGGGCAAAACCAGGGTATGTATATACAAATATATGTACAGGTGTGCTTGCACATACACCCTACAAACTAGATACTACATATCCACACACATCCGCACGCAAATACTGGCAAGACAACAACATTCATAGGTGTGGCATTTAAAAGTCTAGCAATGATCGATCTGATGATCGGTTTTATGAGAGGAGCAATTTCCCCCTACCCAAGTCACCTGTAGGCTTACATGTAAAGGCTAAAATAGAAATAAATGAACAAGCTCCAAGGAGGACTAAAGTACTGTTTAAAGACAAGTACATGCCAAAGTCCAAACAGATGTTTGCAAAGACGATGAATTTTCTCGTGGAGTGAACCAGAACAAGGGGAAACAAAGGGCAGAAACTACTGAGTACACACCAACTTTTATCTGAACCAGTACAAATCAAGTTCTATGTTTTCCTTTTCATTGAATTGGAAATCATGTGTTTCAGCTTTTTGCTACAAACTGCTATTCAGACCCAAATATATGAGTTATGCAGAAAATTAAGATCTCTGCAACACTTCCACACGCACTTTATCCATTCACTCATGCGCATTAAGTGGATGTTATCATAAAATTAACTAACAGTTGTACTTGCCTCGATTACTAGCTTAAGTTACAAACCTGGCTAATAACAGAAACCACTCATGTTGGGCTGGAATCCTCTCAGAACCTTTAGATGAAATATACCTCTTTTAAATGCCAGAACATACACTAAAAATATTTTCATGCAATTCCATAGTGCTTGACATTTAAAGATACCTGCTCTAGACATACAGATGCGACAGTGAGAAGTTTGTTAGTACTAACTAACATGTTTGCCAGCACTGTGAATTAAGAGAAGTAGCTGCTAGTATTAGATGATATGAAATTGTTTGTGTGCAGTGACAGCAACAAAGAAGCACCCAAGGTGAGGTGCAGCGATCAGGCCCTCTTCACCTTTCAGAAGCACCACAACAGCTTGTACTCTTGATGTACAAATCCCATCTATTGCATATCTCGTCTGCCACTGCAAATATTACCTTGCCCTTTGATGATCCCCTCCACATGCAAGACTATTAAATTACTAAGGTAACTGGCAGTTCTCGGGAGGTCACATGTTTCAGCTCTTTTAGGATTGTAAGGATATGGTGTAAAAGGGTGGCTAATGAAACAAATTATTTCAGGAGAGGTTCCCAAGCTGTGCTCCTTTAGGGAAAAAATGGTAATTTTTGTCATATATGGACAACTGCATTTTTCAAGGTGCACAATTTAAGGAGACAGTAAACCAGGATGGAAAGTACGGACAACACCACAAGTGACAGATGCCTATAGAAAATCCTCTGGAATCTGGCTAAGTGGTACAGCCCAAATGCCTATTTCAATATATAGAGATGGCACCTTGGGAGAGCAGAGTGCTGCTAGGAACCTTCACAGTATCTGCATGCCTGCACACTGGTTGTAAACCTTCCTAAACTGTCCAAGTGGAAAATCTTGTATCCTTAAAGTTCTCATTAAGAGGCCCTAAACTCTACTTGTCAGCACACGTGCTCTCCCTCACTGAAAATCAAAACCAAGCAGCTTCAAACAGCATTCCTCAGCCTTCCCACAGCTTCAAACACCTTTCCTCAGCCTTCCCATTCACAATATAATTGACTGTAACTGCAAAGAGAATTTAGTCCTAAACAGAGCTTACTTCAACTAGTACCAGGAGAAAACCATAGTTATATCTATAATTTTTTCCCTGTTAATGACATTGACAGGTTATTAATTAAACTAAAATGTTTTTTATCCAATTAATACTTTAATTTCATAAAATTGGGACTTAAAATGCTAATTCCCTTTAAATAGTCATAGTAGGGATTTGGGGCACTGTGGAGATTTTATTTTTGGCTTTTCACAGAGTTTCCATAAAGAAAACAAACTATCCAATTTTACTTTTAGTATTTCTTCCTGTTTTCACCTTCCAGTTCACATGCTCTCATTTAGCTATACCTGGATCAAACCCAGCTTCCTAAAACAGTTGTTTGCAATGATGTTGGAAAAAATTAATTCCAAATTACTTTAAACTTTGTACCATATTGCTTTTGTCTTCAGTAGCTTTTCAATCCTAACAGTAGTCTTTGAATCATACAATAAATAGATTTTTCCAAAGTATTTCTTCCATAGAATAAAATATTGATTGGTCACTTGCATACTTGTCCTACTAATAGCTACCATAATTTTCATTATTTTCAATAGTCTTACATAGCTGGTAGAGTTAGCCAAAACACTTCTCTTTTCAAGGGCATTCCAGCCAGTTAGTGTTAATTATTAGAGAGGGCTTCCAGTAGGGATTGCAAGAGTATAACTTAAAGGATTTTAGTCCACCATGGCTATGCTAGGCTTTGGAGCCTGAAGCCTTGGTCAGTCTTGATCTTGGAGCACTCAACAGCTTTTTCCTGGCCTGCCTGTACAGCTCTTCTAAACAGAAACAGTAGAGAGACATGCAAGGGTCTCATCTTGCCAAGAAGTTGGGATGTCATCCAGACACAGAAGCTGGGAAGCAGCATGAGAACATTAGTAAAGACATGACCGGAGTTAAACATAAATTATGCACCAGCTTCTTCTGCCCTCACTAATATAAGCAATATATAATATGCAAAAATCCCATCAAGGAGCTTATCAAGTTTTGTCAACTGGGAGACAAGGTTGTGAATCATTTAAAATAAGTAATTCTACCATCTACATCTACCCCACAAACCCTTCAAAATAATTTTTTTTCAGTTAAAATATTAAGGGCAATCACTATTAGGCCTACAGAAATTGCTTTGAATTTTGGTATTAGCTAAACTGGCTACAGAAATAGTCTTCTGAAAGTCTCCAGATGGCTTCCAAATGGATTATAATTTCTGAGAAACAGACTGGGCTTCTGTATGGCAGAAATGAGAATTTCAAGTATATAAACTAACACTTCACAGAGCTATTAAAGCTAATGCAACAGTAGTAGAAAACAACTAGAAAATTTCTTTTTGTAAAAAAGATCAAGTTCCACACGATATTTTATATATAAATACAGGAATTCAAACAACCAGTAAAGATTTTCTACTGGTAATTACTAAATGATGCTTTACCGATCCCACTGATTCTTCTCTGAAGAGACAGCAGAGATATTTTAAATCCTGTCCAAACTTCTCAGCTTCCTTAAGTCATCAAAAATTCATTCCTTTACCTGCAAACGTTAAATCTTCGCAGTTAGAAGCAGCAGCATCAAACCCTGATGGCACGAAAATCATACCACAAAACATACGACCCTTGAAAACAGAATCAAAAAAATACGGGAGAGCTGCAGTTGAGAGGTACATATGCTATTGGGGTGAAAAATAAATTTAGAATTGCTCATATAATTTTCTGTGGCTCTTACTTACTCATGAGTGACACGGTCATTTCCTGGTTGTAAGTTAAATAAATTGCTCGGTTATCCTCAACAATTTACATCACTTGTGACTTGACCTTTCACAAAGACTTTTTGCAATGCTAATTATTAGTTACTAGAACTGCTGAACTTATGTGCAAGACCTTAATACTTAGGGGCACAGAGACAGAACTGCAGAAACAGTAGTAAACGTTAGTAATGCAATCATTAATAGGAAGTATCAAGCAAAATGGAATCACTGTGGGGCTTTTTGTCTTACATGTCCCCTGTGGAATTATAGCTATGGATAATATCTAGTTTTAAAACTGTTTTTAACAAAGTAGGGCTATGGAACATCCTCTCATGTTTGTTTTATGTATTACTTTTCCATTACATGTGAAAAAGCTGTATCCTGCCAGTCTTCCCAAAATGAAGACCAGATGCATTGAAAAACATGAATAATTTTACCCTTGAAAAAATACCTGTTCATTATCAAGGCATTATGAAATTTTCATTAAGTGAATTAGCATTGCTGAGTTCAATTTAACAGTAAAATTGGCAGGTTATCTATTTTTCTACAAAAAGAATAGTAAAATATGAAACGGACCTTTATTTTTAAAAAAATCAATTCCTCTCATTTGAATTACAGTTATAAAACACTGCAACATAAATTTCTTTGGTCAGGGAAAGAGAGATAAAGATGATTTCTATTTCTTATTTACAGGACTAAGCATGTTTGCTCCAGTCCCAAAACAAGAAATACTGGATTGAAATAGTCTGGGAGGGGTTTTGATCATATGCTTCACATTTTACTGCTCTTCCCAGTTTAAAATACTTTTCTTTGAAAGAAAGAGACATGCAGGAGAAAAAAAAAAAAAGAATGGTTAAGGAGAAATACATAAAAATGTATCAAAGAAAATTTGTACTTGTCATTATATAAGAAAAATTGAAATTTGTTTTTTTTAGTGTTGTAAAAAATTCCCAAGATGTACAACAAGTTTGCTTGATTTCATCCAGTTTCTAAGAAGGAAGAATTAGGAATTATAAAGGCAAAATTTGCATGACCTGAATCAGAAGTTGCTATGGCAATTGAATCCAGTAAACTGGGAAAATACTATTTGAAAAAGACAAAACAGAAACATGCGTTTAGTAACCCGCTGCCATTTTAAAACATGCATTTCTCATCTTCTCCTCTCTGAGATGCAGAGCTTTTCATCCATATGAATATCAACCACTAAAAAAAAAGTTCAGATTACTCTGTATTCCTTTCACATATTAATGTATGCTGACTGACCACAGAAATCTCATGTATTTAACTAGGGGAAAAAAAATTTCACCCAGTAAACTTTGTATAGTGATAGTCTTGATAAATCTAGCATGCTGAATCAGGCTTCACAAGATCTATTATGATAACTCATTTTCTAAACAACTAACTCCTTTTAGGGATGTGTTTACCTTATTTCTGTTGAAATACTGGGATGTATGCTTTGAAGCACTTTTACCATCAGGATTAAATTAGAAAGAATACCGTTCATTAAAAAAATGTAGCTATTCATGTTCTTAGTTCTAGGAGCAAGGACTTTTACAGCAGTAAGGAAAAAACACAATACTTGGAAATTAGAATAATCATGACAGAGTTAGCACTGTCTTAGAAAAGCCACACCTGTGTCTTTAGAAAACACAATTAAAATCCATGACCTCAGTAGACAACCCCCATAAAATATTTTGAGCCTCCCTGCCAGATGCATGTGCACTCATAGCCACCACAAGTCTAAGGCATAGAGATGCATAAAATTTGCTCTCCTGGGCATCTAATAAATACAGCACAAATGATGCAGGTTTTTTTTTTCTACTCGCATGTTAAAAAAAACCTGCTTAGGACAATCAAAGTTAAATTCTTTGGTGGTCATTTAGAAAAATGAACTATACCTAGATCATTGATCAGTTGTCCTATACTGAGGTAATTTGAGGAGTGCCATAAGAAAGTTGTTACAAACAACATTTGCCCGTTTTCCCTGCCTGAGAGCAGCTCTCATTTTTTAACATACTCAGCGTAGACTTCTAGAGTGACCTGAAGAGATCCTGTTCCATAGCCTGTCCTAATGCATTGCACATAGCAAGGCTGTAAGTTGTAAAGAGATTGTATCCTACAATCAGGAAAGCAAAGACAGTTCTTCTCTATATTATGTCCTTAAACTGACCTGGAAGATGAACTATGTAGTCTACTGTAACGTCAATATACTAGAATGCTGCCACACATTAAAATACAGTGAAGCTTATGGAGAACCAAAGAGAAAAGGAAATAAAACTCAAGAAGACTTGACAGATGTCATCTGAACATCATTAAAGGGGTGAATATCAAGTACATCAAAATTAAAAACAAAAAACACAAACTTTCCATTGTTTACCTAAGTTTCCATTTTTTTGCATATGCTTTTCATACAACAGCATGAAAATCATATCATTTGGCAAAGGCATTTTGGTTTGTTTTTTTATGGAAAGCATAATAGAACATAGCTTTTTACTTTTGTTTCTTTACAGGAATAGTTACATCCACAGAGATCCCAGAATGGTGCCTGTTGAACCTATAGCGGCAAGAGCACAAAAAAATACAATTGGATATAAATGAAGCCTGTTTTGCTCCTTCTGATTTTTTTTCCCCATAAAACAGTGAGGAGACTAGATTTTACTTTCCAAGGAATGAGTCCTGCCTACTTGCCAAGGAACAACTCCAATCACATGAAGTGAAGGGCAAAACCAGGATGCAGTACTTGACATTGGCCCCTTTATACAGAGAAAATAAGCTTTGGTATAAAACAAATGAAATGTTACTTTGCTGCCTATGAGGAAAACATACGTAGATATAAGATACTCTTCAACGTGCAACAAACATCAAAGCTACTCAATTAAGTAGAAGTCAAGTGTGCTCCTTATGCTGAAATGACACATTGCTAGGAACAGCAAGGAGACAGCGATTCTGTGCAAGTTTTCAGTCAGGTGGTGGAATGTCATCTCACCTCAAGCAGCTAAGTAGGATTTTTTTTGAAGATATCCAAAAGTTATTTTTCTACGAGATTAATACTTTTGTGAAAAATTAACCAGGAAATTCAATTAGGAACCTATGTTTCATTTAAGTAAACTGTAAATAACCTTACAAACTCTGATCTAGAGCAATTTCTAAACAAAGATGGTTTTCATTTTTTTAAGCTGTTTACTCTCATGGATTACTGTCTTGCATGTGATTCATCTTAGCATGCATAGTGTAAAACCTTGGAGTTTGGGTTTTCCTAATTTTTTTAATGATCTACTGATGGAGGACTGCTGTCAAGAAACAAACTGATGCCTTTTTAAAGAAATGCATACAGATGTGTTTTTAAATTAGCAGTTAATTAGTAATGAGTAAAAGCTTACCCCACAAAAATCAAATCAGCTGCTACATTTTAAATCTCCTTATGTATGATAAATAAAATTAAATTTTCCCATAAAAAATTTCATTAGTCTTTTAACCTGCTTTTTGAACAATACAATAAATAAAACCATTAGCCTTAAAGTTCAAATATGCTACAGATGTTTAAGACAATTGAATAACTATATTAAAATGCACCATGAGAAAATTCTTTATCATTTTCCATGCAGGAAGCCAATTGATATTTTTGTGAGGTACCAGTCTTTCAAAAATTCTCATAAGTTAGTTACCTGATAAACCTTCTGTACATGATATATTTAAAAATCTAACTGTACAGTATTTCAATCATATATAATCTGTTGAATATGGCACAAATGCTAAGTTCCCACACCCTTTGCCGTAGAACACATTTTAGGCATAACACAACACTGAAGAATAGAAAGTGCCTGAAACTGGAAAAAAAAAAAAAAATAAAGACACTCAAGTAGTAATAAATTAAATCTCATTCAAACTGATATAAAAGTTGTTCAAGTGTTTAAAGTATCAGATGTGTCATGCAACAGAACGACAGACAATTCAGGCAGGCACACCATGCATTAATAGTTTGCATTCATGGTATCACAAGGTATCTTCCCCCTTCTGTGTGGCCGGCAAGTGCTGGGTACCTGCGGCACTGCCAGGCACACGTGTTGAACCTTCAAAACCTCTTGGTCTCCTGCGCAGGAGGTTTTACGGAGCTGTGCCTCGGAAGGATAACTGGACGACTTCATGCTGTACAGTGGCATCTTGCTGCAGCATAAAGAGAGGCATACTGAGAGCTGCATGTAAGCAAAGCAATCATTTCTTGATTATATTTTCCAGTCAGCGCAGTTCACCACCAAGCAATCGATTTACCAAACTGGGCTTATCCAAACTGGCCAATCTGCACATCAAGAAAATGTCTTCGCAGAACATATCACCTTTTCCTTCCTTTTTTTTTTTTTTTTTTTCTTTTTTTTGGCACAAATCCTTTCATACTCTTGCAGCAAGTTCTTCACCATAGAAGAATTCAGAGATGCTAGCCTGTACAAACACCAGTGCTTCTTCTTCCATAGAGCAAACTACAAAGACAGCTAACTGCCTGCAACAGCTCTGCTTCTCCAGCAACTTTCCCTTCTCCTTCTAAGGAAAGCACCAGCATAATTACACTTCAGACAAAGGGGTGTTCTTGCTGAGCTCTTTAATTCCCTGGAGAATTCGCTTCATATGGCCCACTTTCGTTATCCCCAGGTCCTACAGAAATGTAAAAAAACCCAAACAAACAGAAAAAAAAAAAAGAGAGAAAAAAGAAAAGAAGGAAGTTTATTTACAAAAACTGAAAAAACCCCTCATTGGTTATGATCTATCTATGCAACAGATGTCTAGAAACGTGCTCACTGCAATCAAGAGTAACCAGAAAGTGTTAGAAAGTGTTGCCTAACAAAAAAACTGCTTAGAGCATACAATGAATCCCTCTCTGTCTTACAGACTGAAAATTACTTACCTGCACTACTGACAACACAAGGCACCCCAATACATATATAAAACATCTCTGGCTTGACTTCTAAATACGAAAACCCTTCACAATTTCTGGCAAAAAAAGAACAATATCCCCCTCCTCTCTAATACAGCAATCAAATGCTTGGTAGGATGTAATGGATTAGAGCTTTTGCCCAGCAATGTCACTTGATCTCAGGCCCTATGATGTCTGTTTAATCAACACACATATCCCCAGTTTCTTAAGGGAAAGTGGATGCAACGGCTACAGATATGTAGGACAACTTTCCTTTAGAGAGCAATAGAAAAGGTAAGCACTTGCTTTTCATTCCAAAATGGTTACATCTGCTAACATGGATCTTCCTGATTAGAGAGCTGGAAGAAAAATTCTCAAAGACATGACAGTCACATCCTAAAGGAAAATGTAAAAAGCACAAGAGTAAGTCTCCTTGTAGCCACCACTAAATCAATTCACTTCAGCTGAAACGTTTCTATTATTGGTTTCTGGAACTCATCTCGGTATGAGACAACAGACAGGAATTTTTTGCAGCAAACTTCTTCCAGTATGAGTAACATCTTTAGCAGCATCCTTTTTCAGTTTTGACTGGTCCAGTGGTCAGAGAAGCAGAATGGGGTGCCCAGCTGTGCTAATGATTCCCCACTGCACTAATGAATTTTCAGCTCAGTTTGGTGGAAATCTGCTTCCCTTATCTGTAAAACCCAGCTCTAAAAAGTCTTTAAAATCCTTGTGTCAGTGATGTTGAGCAATTGGCAGAGTAAAACACTACTTATTTGTAGAATAAACCTTATATAAACAGAGAGTGATTAAATAAATTGGAAAAAAAAAAACAAACAGAAAAGTTTCACTATCTATTTTTCTGAAATAGAAACCCTTTCATTTTAATAGGAAGATTTTTCCATTTCAAAGACATTAAAAGGAAAGGAGTGTAATTGGGCAGCTTGAAAACCTTAGTCTCATACAGAGTGGATAATGAAATCTTATCTATTTTTCTATATATACTCTACACAAAGACTGTACCTACCTTCTTACAGTCACAAAAAACTCAGAAAATCTGTATTTTATATTACATATATTACATATTTATATTATATTTTATATTTAAAATTAGCGTGCAATAATTTTGGAAGAAAGGAAAAAAGGGGTGGTAAGATGGGCACGAATTAATTACTTTACTGTAAAGGTGGCACAGCCAAGATTAAACAGATGGATTAATTTTCACAGAGTCAAGACTGAATCCTGGTTATATTAGAGATGAAAAATACTTGGTTGTTTCTTCAGCTGAAAATTATCAGCACTATAAATATGTGATCACCATTTACAGCACTTTGGCACAAAGGTGTCAGCATTAAAGAGTTCAAGATATGTTCATAAAAGTCCCCAAATCAAGTGGTGTTCATAAACCTATCTGAAAAAAACTCCTAATTTTACACATCACATCAATTCATATTTTATTTTTGCTAATAGTCATCTCACTTATAAATGTAGTGCTAATTTTTAAGAGAATTAATGTAGGTAGTAATGAAATTAATCCCAAAATGACAGCAATATTTTTAATTGCAAATTTGTGTAATATTTTCTATGTCAAAGAAATGAATCAAAAATACACACGACTACTAAAATTAGTAGGAAAAACCCATAAGGATACTTTCCAAACCACAACAAGCCATACAAGTTAAAGGTTAAGAACTTACAAAATCTTCAGAACAAACATTTTGTCATGAGCAGAACTTCTGTTGGATAAGCAACATACTGACATGCTGCTGGACTTCAAAGATCAGAGGAAAGAATCATATTATGAAATTCCCAGAAATCTCAGGCACTTTTTCCACCAGCCTTATAAAGCATCCTCGACAATGCCCATGTTTCACAGGCAAGAGATTTTGGGTTTATTTCTGTTCCAGCTGAAGTTGCTGTAATGCATATCAGAACAGCAAGTCTCAAGAGCGTCATCACAAATTCTGGAGAGCCCTTTGATAAATTCTGCTACACTTCCAGGGGAAATAAAAACCCAACCAACAACTCAGAATTTTTATGCTTGTGTAATAGTTTTTAATTTGGTGGAAACTAGAATTTATATATTCCTGACACTACATGCTATCTAGTATTCTCAAGTTTACTGCTCATGCAGGAAAGTTTGCAGAAATTGTTTCACCTCAGACTAAAAGGATCTGTTACATCAGCATAGCATGCATCATTCAAAAAAAAAAGATCCCCAAATATCTTTGCATTTCTATGTATGCACAAGTTTCATCATCCTCTACATAACCTGTTAATATGTAATTAACAAAAATTCAATTTGAGTAAAATATGGTTTTAAAGATAAGGCTCTAGCCAGACTCTGAATAGCCTTTCTTTTTCTCTAGCTATGGCCTTAAAACTACAGTATCACCTCCACTTCTGCTCTCCATTATCACTGCCATTCCCAGGCCATTTTTTGGGCCAAATGTACCACCAATGTAATACTAGCAAACAATTTATATAAACACTCCTTAATATCAACATCTTCCAAATGAGAAATCTACCTTACTTGCACTCCCAGTGTAAAAAGCCATCTGGCATGCATGAAGGCTAATAAATCTTACAAAACCTTTTCCATGCAAGAACTTTTCCAAAACATGTTGCTGTGAAACACAGGCAGGAAGTGCCTCAGTCCTCAGCACAGATTTTAGCTTGACTGGCAATGCTCATCAAGGTAACATGTCATGGAAACCCTTCCTCCAAGGAAACAATATTGCTATGGAGCTCTAAGAAGACATCAGCCTCTCATCCTACTAAATGTGTTGCAGTTCTGATTATGACTAAGTCGCATGCATAGGAACATGGTTATCAATGCTAAGAATGACTATTTATTTCAGAATAATCAGAGGCTAGTTTTCAATGGGTTTGCTTGTAAAATAAGGTTTAAAAAAAAGGTCACACCAAGCTTTCTTTCTACTGTTTCTACAGCACAATTCACAATTCCTTGCCCAGCCATTTCTCAAACAAAAGAAAATCATATGGGTATAAAATTCTAAGATTCCCTTACATAAAATCAGGCATAGGAGGCTGAAGAAAGGGTATTACTGCAGGGACTGGGTGGAAGGAGGTATCTCGTTCCTCTTGGAGGTGTTCTCTATTTGCCAGTTACCACACAGAGCTAACTGAGAATAGGATTCAAAAGCTATGCAGAAATACAATAAGAGGTGCCCAATTCTTCAGTTAATGTATCTATGTATTTCAGCAATGGATGCAAAGGAAGAGAATTTAATCAAATCCTTTTCCATAATGATCTTTATCTCTGCTCTTGACCACAGAAAGATAGGTGATTCAATTAAAACAGGTAACAGTGTTTCTTGTTGCACACGTGAAAAGTAATAGACGTAAATCTATTGTACAGGATTTAGGAGATTGTGAGCCAATGGAGATCCCATTCAGTTTGTCAGCAAGCACAAGCCTTGCAGTGGAGGAGAGGCTGTAGACAGACTATAGATTGCAAGAGCACTGAAGACTCATCTGCACCACCTCGAAAGCCAAAGGGAGGAAAGATTCACAGGGCAGCTTGTGACATATTGCTGATTTCCATAGTACCACATTACATATCTTGACAGCAAGTCAGGCCACTGGCCGAAAACTGCAGGCTGTCTGAGCCATCCTTAATTGGCTCCCTGAAGAGATCATGCCCCATATGTAGCCCACACTGCTAAACTCTGCAGTTTAATTCAGTGTTGTTACATAGAGTGAAAGACATGCTTAACCAAAAACCTGGCTTAGCTTTTAAACAGCAGGTATCTGGAAGCTCTCAGCATCTGCTAACAAGCACATGGGGCGATTCTGGAGCAAGATTTTGGTCAGCGCAGGACACACTCTTGCCAACTTGTGTAGAGCAACTCCTTATCCTATGTGTCTCCAGGCAGCACTAGATAGAGGGGACAGTAGGCTCTGTAGGCTCTCTGTAGGCCCTTTAAGAGAAGCTTTTAGGTATTTCATGGCATAGACCTTAGGGATGGGGTTTTATTTACCCTGAATCGAATCAGCATGTGTCTTAGCAACAGGGAAGACAGGTCAATGATTACCCTGCTGCAGATATTTTACTTGCTTGAATTGCCAGTCTTCTGGGCAAGCAGTCAAATTGGTACCTATGAGAAACAAGGCATGGCCAGAAGCCACGTCTAGTTTAGCACTGCTCTTACCCACCACTATTTATTGCAACAAGCTGGACTTGCAAATATATGTTGGACATGCAAACATATGCATGGTGTGATGCTGAGTTTCCCAGTTGATTTTTAAGTTTGTTCATCACTTATACAGAACAGTGACTTGCAAAATGCATCACTAGACAATTGTGGTGGAGTGCTTGGACAGTTTTCTGTTTCTAAATTTTGGCAGCAAGGAACTGTCCTGAAATTGTCCCTGCATGTCAGGAACTATCCTGAAAGAAAGGAAGATTAGGCGATCTAATACCAAAGGGTAAAATAATACACAACAGCCAAACAGATTATCTCAAATATAGCTATCTTCAGCAGCTGCCTTCTACTGCAACAATCACACAATGCAAGCACTACCTTATAATGCCAGGATTTCATGTTATACAAGAAACTGTACATAAAGTAGCACATCTCCATGAAAACATTGTCTCTACCTGCAGACTCCTGCACTGTGGCTAGAGCAATGACACACACTCTAAATGTAAATGTTGGCAATTCATACAATATCCTATTTCCTCTCTTATGTGCTAAAAGCAGTTGCAAAACACATTACCAAGAACTCATTACTACCGAGTTCCCGGAAAAAGTAATGTAATGAATCCCCAAAGTTATAGCCTCTATTACATATAATGGATGCACTTAAGTCATTCTTGAAAAGGACCAGCAAGCTCAAATAACAGCCTCAGACTGTTGGGTAACATTTCTCCCAGCAAAACTTATCAATCTGACCTCAGAGAAAGAAAGTTTTATGATTTCGGAGTCAAAAAAAAAAAGGTGCTCTTCTTTATATTGAAAAAATCAGGCAGAGGTCAGTCAGGGATGAGAAAATCTATTTTGACACACAAACACCAACACCATATAAGTCCAGTGTTGCAATTTATTGAGCAGTTTCTCTCTCTCACACCAGCTATATCCAATATATATATACACATTATTTATATACATGATCTGGAGCAGATCAGCCCTTGCAGTAGATAGACTGAAAATTGTTATCACCACCTTCCACTGATCCATACTGATCATGTTTAATGGAAACAGTGAACTCTTGAAGATAATATTACACTGATGCCACTAAGATATCAAATGTCCTTCTCCAATGCCTTTTGACATAAACTGCAATGCTATCATTCTACATAGAGTACAAAAAAAAAAAAAAAAAAAAAGGAAATTTCGGATAACACAGATACTCTTGGCTGTGAGTTCAAGTCAGCACTTCAGAAAGTCAGGCCCAAGGACAGCGCGTATTAGTTTATTGCATATTTGCACAGTGTAAGCGAAGCTACAAGCAATGACAAGTGCAAGGAAAGAAGAAAAGTTGGTGGTGTTTTGTCAAAGAAAATGGTCAATAGCAGAAAAGTAGCACAAAGGAAATACCTTAAGATCTCGCCTTTCCAGATGTAAAAGCTCAGAGCCTCGGATGTCATGGCTGATGAAGATTTCTTTGTACTCTCCCAAACTGAGCAGATCCAGCCAAGCAGCAACTTCATCTGTGCCCCATTTTTGAACTACCAAAGTTAAGAGCAAAACCCCCTTAATTTCTACATGCTCAAATGCATCACAAGCAAAGGTTAGGCCAAAGAGAGTGGAAAACAGAGTAGAATTGCCGTGCTAGCAAAGGGAAAGGTTAGAGGTGTCATTTCCACAAAAACTTACAGTTTCCTTTTCACATGCAGGTTAGAGGTTAGCAGTTAACATGAGAAAGTATCTAAACAAAGTTGGGGTTCTTTGCTTTGCAGCCATGCTTTCAGCTTTACTCCAGTTTCTTCAGTAAAGCCTTTTTTAAAACCTCATGTCCCAACAAATTCACATTAAACCAGCTTAGGATCAGTGACGCAAAATCTAACGATGTTCTGCTTTATGCCATTAATTTATTAGAAGCCATCCAGGGAAAGGAGAAGCCTTCAAAAACTAATTAACATGTAAAATTAAAACAGCAACCATACCTCAAATATAGCAATGGCAGCAAGCAAGTCCAGTTTTAATTAACAGATTCTAGTATTCTTAATTAATAAAAGTACTCTTTAAGCTACTGTGTTACACAGGCCATTAAGAAGCTCTCTATAAAACATTGATCTCTAAGGTTAGTTGCCCACATTAGTCCTATTAAGACCACATTTATTAAAAAATTAGTTATGCTACTTATTGCTATAATTTTGCAACTTCATTCAATGCTCATCACTTTATAATGAAGTGAAACCTTAAGTCTAATCTGAAATCTAAAGTTTGATCAACAACTGCAAGACTTTGCAGATTATGATCAATTCATTAAAAAGATAAAGACATAGAAACTATTTTAGGACCATCTGATCCTGGACATAATCTTAAGGAAGTAAATTCATGGATAAGAGTGGGAAGAGAGGAGAGTGGAGTTTGTTCAGCTTCTAATTATAAAATCAATATTGACTATCATGGTTTTTTGTTTGATCTGTGTCATTTGCTGAACTTATAACCCATCTGAAATTTAAGAATATCTGGTTAATTAAAACGGTGTGATAAAAGCTATTGCACACCTTCTGGAACTAACCTGAAAAACCTGAACTGGAGCTTCATAGGGTGTTCACCCATAGCTTGTATGGCTATGAGTTAATCAAACAGAATCACCAGCAAAGACACAGGTCCTGTTGCATGATAAAACTATCTAAGTATTTTCACAGTACTTCTTTGGTTCACTTGGAAGTATTTGAGTCCTACGGAATGCTTTCTAAATGCACTGAGAGAAATCTTTATCCTAATGAAGATGCCAAGTAGCTCAGTTACTTTTCACTCTGACTTTAATCTTAGGTAGAACACACAATGTTGCCTCTTACCAAGAAACCCCCACAAAATCACATTTTTCCACAAATTCTACTATTTTTCTTGTAATTTCAAAACACATACCAGGCTGAGAGCTGGTCTTATGCTTCTGAACTTTTTCTTTTTTAAACTTTGGCACTATACGAAACACTGTACTTCTGTTGTTTCTTTTAGCATAATCCAGAGGGGCATCCTGCATGAAATAATGGGCATGGTTACCTTTAATTAACAGAAAACAACAGTTAAATTACATGCTTGTAATGATAATTCATAGTTAATCTCAAAAACTAAGACCCAATTTTACTTCTGTAAAGAATAATGTTAGCATTTAACTCTATATGTGTTTCATTTATTAAATAACTATTCAAAACCTTTACATTCACAAATGGGAACAAAACACACACAAAAAAAACCCCCTAAGCCTAGAAGCTTGTTCACAGCAGACAGAATGATCCAGCATCACTACTGCAATTGCTTCTCTGGATAATGAAACATTCTAACTTATTCTTTCCTGTCAAAAGAAAATTAGTTCACTTAAAATCAGGAATAACTCATCAAACTTACCTCATCATCATTTGGTTGAAAAACATAATAAAGCCAAGGAATCTCAGCAAGTTTTCTCAACTCTACTTCCACACTGTGCAAAGCATCAGACAACAGTTCTTCATGGGGAGCTTCTAACTGCTATTTATAAACAGCCCAGAAAAATAGTATTTTTAGTTTCATTGAGATTTAACATTTCATCTAGGTATGTTGTTACCACGCACAAACAGATGACTACTTCATGTTGAGTGTAAAACAAACAGTGAAAACAAATAATCTTCCAAAATTACTTTTCTTGGGAGATGCACCAGACCACCTTGATACTACATTTTCCATGGTCCCAACCACAAAGGGATGACTGAGACAGCCGAGATTTTCAGACTGCAGTCACTGTCATCATTCACTGCATTCCTTACTCTTTATAGAGCAGAGTTATCTGGTAACACCACTACCTAGGACACACTAGAAAGGGAAACTACCAGCACAAGGGAGAGAAAACCTGATCAGAAGAGCAAGCACCTGGAAAATCTTTGTATGGAAAGTGGCGTAAAAAAGTTGAGTAGACGGTAGTAAGCCAGAGTTATTTTTTTTGGAAATGTTTTCAGATGGTAGATTGCTCTCTCATGGTCAAGTAAGAGGAAATGGATCTTGCTGAAAATGCTTCATGCCCAAAGGTCTTCCAGTACTGATACATTACTTGCACTATCCCTTCTAAATAGGTGAGACATGGAGCAATAGACATTGCTGCTGGTGAGGGTGGAAAGAGCTCCCTGACAGGAGACAAAAACATCAAGGACATCAGTGAAGACCAAAGAGTGAAAGAAAGTGGTGGCCATGTAAAAACCTTGGGATTTGCTGGCCTATGGCAATTTGTCTCTAGCAACACTTTGAGAACCCCATGGAGGTACCTGTTTCCTTTAAAATTCCAGCTGTTGTGTGAGTGAACCTGTGTGGAAGAGGTAAGGCAGGCAGCTGACCCCTAGAAAAGCTGTTTTGAGCTGACCCCTGGAAAAGCTGTTTTTTGCTGAAACACCATTTTGAGGTAAAGAATTGAATCCTAGAACAAATTGCTTGGAATCAATAATAAAGCAATCTGAACATCTATTTCTCTCTTTAAAGTAAAAGAAGTCCCAAAACAGTGCAGAATATCCTTTTGAAAGGATATAATTACATTACCTCCTAGTGACTGCATTTTTAAAATGGAGTTCTAAGAGAATCTTTGATCTATAGTGCCAGAAAAAGATTTTTGACATTGCCGGGGTTTGGTGATAAATTGCAAGCCCTCATTAATTTATCCTACCTAACAAAAACTTCTTTCCTTTGCTTCAGTAGTTTGCACAGTTACTGTCTTTCAAAAGAGAGAACACGTTTCGTAAGAGCTTGCTGTCTAGTACAGTAGTACTGAAAATATAAGCTCTTTTTGCTATTGTGTTATTTTCTCTTCTAAAGATCATAGAATTCAGTGTCCATAAACAGACTTTGATGTTTCTTTTGCCTTACCATTTTTTTTCAAAACAAATAGTTCAGTTAATCTGGAACACAGTTGAATACCCATTTGTCTATGAAGAAGTTACAACTTTTCTTGTGTTTTCATTTTTAGAAATTATTCAAGTAATCTATTTTTCTATAAATGAATGAAGCAAAGAATTCTGTCTTTCTCAACAAATACTTATCTAACTGCTTGATTCACAAAGGAAAACATTTTCCCTGGGGACAAAAAACCCACTCATGTGATGGTTCTCCTGAAATAAACTCAAAATAATAGTGCAATTCTGGTATGGGAAGAATCAGCAATTTACTCTACATTCTCCTCCTACAAAATCTTGGAAAATCTTCTCTCCAAGACAAAAATTAACACTATGAATGAAACAGTGAAAGTTTTTTCAATTCCTTCCAAATTTAATTTTTTAATATGAAAATATTTTACTTCAAGTGAGTTCAGATAATTTCTTTCAGTTGAAATGAAAAATCCTTAATTACGGGAATTCATTTTCCTTTAATGCATTTGAAATCTGTGCTCTGCTCCAGACTGGAAATGCTTTTTAAAAATCAAAAATGCAAACAGTGCCTTTGAAACTATCAAGAAAAAACATAGTATTTTTATTTTTTTCCAAACTTTATTCCAGCCATAACCATCTGGGAGATTCCACAAATCAGCATCATTGTCCCATCTTGAGCAGCTTGGTCTCGTAGAAGGCATCCCTGCCCATGGCAAGGGAGCTGGAAGTGGATGATCTTTAAGATCCTTTCCAATCCAAACCATTCTGTGATCCTAAGAAGCACCTTAGCAAGTGTCCTAGTTTAGTTGTTGACTGGGGTTAAACCATGACATCAAGCAGTATATGCAATAAAGACACCAGTTTACTGCTGTCAGGAGCTTTGATCACAGAATAGAGGGGTGAGAGAGAATTGAAGAGGCACAAAAAAAAAAAAAAAAAAAAAGAAAAGGAGAATATCATAGAAAGAATGTCTGTCTTTGTGAGATAAGAAAAATAATTTGGAGAACAGGTTATGAGGGGAGCAGCTGATGCGTGAAGCAACACCTTACACTTCATCATTTTAACAGAATGAGGGACCAATATACGTGCAACTTCAGCGTTTATAAAATACATGGCAATAAGGTTAACCAGGGTGCCTTGTTACTGTAGCTGTGAAAAACTATTCTAAACAAGTATGATATCAAATGAGTGTAATGCACATCTCTGGAATAGTATCTCAGTATTTTCCAAACAGTCTTTTTATTAAAAAATGGGCTTGTTGTAGACTCATGAAGACATTTGCACAGAACCATAATGAGCAGCAGAAGTACAACATGTAAAAATTCAGAAATGGAAAAATGAATCAAATTAAACTTTGGAGCCTGAACAAGGGACCAGTTCAACAACAGTGAGATCACAACTGGCTGTAGAAAAGGTAATGTTTCAAGGGGAAGGTTTCCATAATAACATTATTTCCAGCCTACCTTGATAAATTTCACCACTCCTGGTATGACATCTCCAACTTTGTTTTCTCCTAATTCCTCTTCCTAAACTATTTTAAATTTTTTTAAAAGTTCTTTCTTTTAATTCCCCATTAAATCTCAAATACGGGGGCTTAGTAATAGCAATTTGAAAAAAACATCAGATATTTTTCCTGTTTCTTGGACCAAAATATCTAATGAAAACTTTCCCTTTGAAAACATTCTGAAATAAAACATATGAACCTAATTTTTGACTATTTCTAGAACTCAAACCATATGGTCTTTAGACCATATTCAGTTTTGGTTACTGTAAAATAGACTCTCATTATTTACCACTTGTGTGAAAAGGTATGTGAACCTGCATCAGTCATTTTATATGCAACTCAGATAAATTAAAATATTCCTATTAATATCCATTTTTAATCACAACATTTAAATAAACAGTAAGTTAGTAATAAATCTGCTTCGGAACCTAAGAAAATGTAACTGTTCCTCATGAGTATGTTCTTAATGTAAAACTGGACTAGCATAGAAAACCTGACATCTTTCACCTCTTCACAATGTCACATACAGAAATTTTCCAGTTATTACCAGTTAAAGACTATAAAATAACTTCTGACAGGTATTAGAACAAGGGTGATATTTTGCTTGCCCAGACTAGATCTGTGGAAGTTGAATGCATGAGCCTTAACAGCTCTCACCCCAGGTTCTCCTTAAACTCTGAAGATGGTCACATAATAGTACACCCTGTAAGTTCTCTTAAATGCTTTATCTCCAGAAGATGATTTATCTTTTAATAATATAAGCCTCCAAGATAGCTGAGTGTGAATGAATCTCAAAAGGGACACTTACTTCTCTCCACTGACTATTAAAAAGAAGAGTCCAAGCAATGACCTAGTGAGGCAAGAGGGATGCCAGCCTAGGACAAGAATGTGTAACCCATTCTAATCCAACCACAAATGCAGTGTAATATCCTCCTATCGATCTTACAGAGCTTCTTGCAGCATGTCATAAATTGTGCACCGATTTTAAAAAGTCAGCAAAGAAAAAATCACAGATAATCTGAAGGAAGGAATAAAACCATGTGTCTTATGATCTTACCAAAGGAACTCTTCCAACTAGCAGAGATTCTGTTTCATTATGCAAGGCCTTCACATTGACAGCTATCTCCATGGCAGTGTTTCTGGTAAGGCTCTGGGGAATAAGAAGTATAAACATTATTTGAAGTGATGCAAGTCAAACTAAGTACTTTGGGCTTGCAGAACAGATCTTAAGTGCCTTCTCCTAGGAGAAATACGTCAATTTAGCTCTAAACTGACAAATTCTTCAGCACTGAGAACAGAAACCAAAAATATAGCATCTATTTACTATCCTTTGCTCAATTTCATTTAGTATGACCTTAACACAATCCTGAATATCATCAAATGACCAGCCACCTGTGAGACAAATCCGTGAGTTTTATCTATGACAAAGGCCAGCAGAGAAGTTGTCGGTCCCATTTAACAATGACTGCTGATCTCAATTTTTCACCTTATCCTTAGTAGAAGTAAGTTACTAGCCATACTTTAAGAAGCAAAGGGCAACTGATATATTTATCATGTGTAAATTTAGTTTAGATATAGATAGTTTCTACTGAATTATCTTTTCCGGGTCGAATTCCTGAAAACACCTAGATTGTCTAGTGGGAAGAGAGGAACCAGGAAATGCATTTCCCCTCAGCCCATTTGCATTCTCTGCATAGCACTTCAATAGCAATTAAGCATGAAAATTTCTCTGAAAGCATCCACAGAAACTGACCTTTATGTAGTAACAGAACTAGTTCAAACTTCGTCATGCCACCACTCTCTGTTTGGGGACATGCCTACGCAGTTGTCTGCAGCCCAAAGTGAGCTTACTTTGCCGATTGTTTCTGCTGTTTGCACCACCTCACTTGATTAAAGTGAGGATGCACCTCACTGCTGCATCCCTTCTGGAGGAGCACCCTCGGCTGTGGACCACCACTGCTGACGAAGCGAATTCTTGACTGCTTCCAAAAGGCAACAGTCATACCCTTACTGTGCCCCTAATCCAAACTCCCTGTCTCTCATTTGACTATTCACTCCCCCCTGCAATCAAACCCAGAAGGTCTGCATTTTAAGTGTCATTAATGTCCTTTTCCAATGTCCAATGTTCACATAAGAGTGTCAGCTGAGGAGGACACTGATGAACACAGACACTTCATCTTCTGCCTTCTCATCCAACTTGTTTTAATATGGGGACAGGGAGTACAATACAGCGACTGTGCTACAAGCTTGTGCACCCAGATATGATAGCTTATTTACTTATACATAAGTCTCTGTTCTTCCTTTACCTCTGGAAACCTTGGGTTGGCTTTATTTAATGCATGTGAACATGCATTAACAGCATGAGCAAGCTCCTGCTCCAAGAGGCCATGTATTTTTGCTGCTTCACAGATCCTACAAAAGTATTAAAAAAGGAAAATATTTCTTAATTTCTTTAAAGAGTAATTCTTAAGAACAGAACATTATCAGATGAGAAAATATAAAATTTGTTTCAGAAAACATTTTAAAATATAGTCCTTTATAACAAAAATTGAAATGCAATTCAATTCAAACAATTCTCTTCAAACAATACAGCACCTCATATAATCCATCAAAAATATCCATCACACAGATTATTTATGCTGCTACAAAACACTGAGACATATTTATATGTCTTAGAATACTAATGCTATGCAAAAAATGTACCAAAAAACATTGACCTATTAATTCAAATAACTATAGAGGAAAACTCTAGCACATTAAAACAACTTACTTGCAATTATCTTAAAAACCATTACAACTATTTCATAAGGCATATTCTTCAGATGTGAGATGAAAATTGGTTGCAATCATTTGAGATTATGGGAGGCCCAGCTGTAATTACAACCTCTGGACCATATCTAGAACAGTAAAGTTTTTAAGCTGTCTTGGTTAAACTTCTCTTTAAGTAATTGATACACTAATGATTCTTCTATGTCTACTTAAGTCACCAGTGCAGTATAAAAATATGTAGTTTTTCAATTCCTTTCTTATATTACCAGTGATTTTGATGCTAAAGAGGATTTATCATGATGATGAACTGAATACCAGCTTTACAAAGTGTTCTGATTTTTTTTTTAATTTCTTTAAAAAAAAGTATGGGTTTTTTTTTGAAAATGGAAGTGTCTTCTTTATTAAACTACTTGCTTATTTTCAGGAGCTACTTTCATCCTGAGATGCAAGGCTATGGGATCAGTTTTATACCATCAGCTCACTATCATCTCAAACCAGATAAATGACTGAAGTGCCCATCCTGCTGACTTCTAAAGTTGACTTCTAAAAGTGTCTTTTTTTAATAAATATATTTTTGCTTTTGCATAAAATGAGAGGGTTCAATCTCTGTAAAGAAGCTTTCCAGTTTTCCATTTCCAGTGCAACTTAAGAAAGTTGTTTTTCACAAGAAAAAAATCCAACACAAGCACACACAAATAAAATTAAAGAAATATATAAGAAAAGAACATATAATGAAGTTGAGCCTTAAAAAGAAATTTTAAAATTGGAATAAAATAACTGATATAGTGGCAACAAAACATTCATCAAAACCCAGAAAAAATATACACTTTTAAGTCTGTGCATTAACTTATTAATTTTACTGTACCTGGTAATAAGTTCTTCTGCAGCTTGTGAGCACAGCTGGATCTGTGCAACTTCTTCTTCTGTAGCCAACTCAACAGCTTGCTGAGGGTACAAGGGAGATCGTATGACAGGTTTACAGGAATCATACTTTTGTTTGTCTTCCCAAGACTTCAGGGTGTTTTCAAAGGCCTAATCAAAATGAATTATACATTCAGTTCACAGCACTTGGAGTATTCTTACTCATTAAAACATTTTATTTTACACTTTGTATATATTTAAATTATATAACATTTTTAGTTAAAATTAATTAAATAAACAACTGATTTAATTTTATATAAATAATACTATCTGTATAAATAATAATTTTACATTTAATTTCTTAAAACTTAGTAGAGAGAATAAGTCACTTCTGAAAGTTCTTTATCTCCTTCCCATTATCCTCAAAATGTGTCATCCAAAACAATAAGAACACAAAGACAGTGATAATGGTTGGACTCAATGATCTTAGAGGTCTTTTCCAACCTAAATGATTCTAGGATTCTGTGATTTTCCAATGCAAGCATATTTTGTGCAGATAGCTAGACTGAAATCTGAAACGAATACTGGATTCAAACATAGAAAATAGTGGGGAATAGTAACAAATTTAGTAAAATAGAGTTCAAATTCCATTAATTTCAACCTAAATTCAAGATCCAGTTAGTGGACAGAGAACTGAGGGGCAGTTACACCCTTCACACAATAATCCTAGACAAGTATGAACTCTCCAGTGGCTTTGTCACTACGTTCTGCCTGTGTCTCTTCTGTCCGAGACTGGGTCATGGGACAGAAGGAGGGTTAGTAGGACAGAGAGAGACAGGAGAGAAATGTGCAGAAAGGTATTCTGGTGAATGGACATTATAGAACTTTTGTATTTATGCAACTGTGCTAAAACTTCCAGGGAGGGAGGGAGGGAGGAAGGCAGGAAGGAAGGCAGGTAGGAAGGAAGGAAGGCAGGAATGAAGGCAGGAAGGCAGGCAGGCAGGGAACAATGTTGACCATTCTTATTATGCAGTAATAGGAATACAGGAATAGCACTAATAAAACCAATAAAAGTTAACAAAGCTTTGCCACTTACACAAAAGAATAATTCTCTGTTCATCTTATAGAAATTATATAACTGTAAGTAATTGTATGAGTTATATAAATAATTACAAAATATTTTTGTAAGCACTGTTTTGTTAACTGAAGCAAATTATTACAGACACCAATGTTAGCAGTGGCATCTCTTTTTGCAACATACTCTGTCTCGTGTGAGCATCTGAGCCCTGTTTTTATGTACGATCTTAATAACTCCCGGGGGCTGGATCCATGCCTCTCCATCGACTTGCACTGGAACCCCTTCATCACCAAGTATGGTGATCTTTACTGACCGACACTGGAAAAGAACAGACACGTTATTTTACAGAGCAATGAATACTAATCAAACTGACAGGCCACCTGAAATGTGTTGATTACTAGGAGCTGTGGCTTCCCTCCAGAACTGTCTCAAGAACGAAGAACTTTAATACTTCATTCATCATTGAAGACAATTTGTTACCCATTAAAAACAAAACAATGTCAGTGCTTTATTAATGCACAGTGTGGTGGTCATCCAGACTACCACTACCTGCCAGTATCCCAAACTGCTGCTAACCACGTTGTGTGCTTGCAAGCAAGAAACAGACCTGAGCTATCCTGTGGTGCTGCAGTTTGATGACTCTTGAGACTGCCATCTGCATACTGCCAAATACTGCAACAACTTCTAAGATTTTATCATCGAACGATGGAGCCCCAAATATCTGCAAAGAAATTTTGATGGTAAATCCAGTGCTTAGATTGCATGCTCATTGAAACACAGATTCGTTTACAGATTCATTTTCAACATTTAACTGCTCTAACTTACTGCATAATAACTATATTGTGTCTAAAGTCATAGGAGTAAGATACCAAAGACAAATATTATTCTAAAATAGCAATGCTAATAGCATTTCAAATATCTGAACGCCAAGTCATATCCTCATATAGGAAGGATGACATGTTTCAGCATGCAGATTAAGAAACATTTTTCAAGGCAAGATGAGAGGCCAATTCAAATCTTTGCTTGGCTAATGTACTTAATATCTAAAAGGTTCTTGAAAGTAAGAAAAGCAATGATGTCTTTTTACTCTCAGAAGTGCTTATCTGTTTATATTTTGAATTTTCTGGAAACCAGCATTTGAGTCCACACTCTGCTTTGTTTAATACAGCTTTGACACTGAAGGATCTTGGTTTTGCTGTATGTAATTATCCACTGTAAATACTAGAAGTGTTTCTGTATGGAACAAATGTCCTCCTATCCAGCAAACGTGCTGAATTTCCACAAGCTCATACAAAGCACAGGAAGTCCCGCCACCTGGTGTCCTGCTGGGGAATTCAGCCACAGGACAAGTCTTCGGCTGGAGTTCAGCTGGGTCTGGCAGGTGATACCACACTAAGGTCACTTGAAGCTGGCCATTTTATCTTGATATGCAATAGGGAGCAATGAGGGAGAAAAATCAGCAGGAGAAATCACTCCAGTAAGGGTTTAGTGGGTAGAGAGATCACCTCTCTCAGCAGTACTTGGACTATCTCAGTTGACACGTTGGGCAGAGAGTAAGCTGCGTCAGAGACACCTGAGACCAGACTGGAGAAAATCCCTTAAAGAAGCTCAAAGTTAGGTCCTGCCTCCAGACAGAAGATTTCCTGGAGGTGAAGAATAAGATCCAGCACTGTGTAATCCAGATAGTGTCTGCAGCAATAGCTCAGAGAGGGAGAGGATGGGGAACAAGGTAGGGAAGTTTGGTCCCTGCTGCCCACCGAGCCAGTGGGAGCCTTTATCCCAGTTCAGTGAGCTTTGGCCAGGAGGCTGAGAAGGGCATCTCAGGGAAAGGGCTGCACAGCATAGTTTGTGCCACATCCAGGTGGCACATCCCATCAGAACATTCCAGGATTGCACAGATAGATTGGATCTTGAGTACAAAAGTGTCAAAACATGAAAGCTTTTACTGGCTCTAGAGTGTTTTCATGCAAAAAGTTTCTCCATCTGAATTTTTTTGCAGTTTCCATGGAATTTTTCACACGAGTATGTGAACATCTTGACAAGAGCAAAGATGGTGATTCTGTTATTCCAAGGTAAAAAGTGTGAAGAGTTATTGATCCAGCAACTGACACCTACAGGGCTAGTTCTTGCATGGGTTAAGAAAAAGCAGTTGTAGAATTTCATTTATTTTGTGTTTCTATTTTAGCAAAAAGACTACCACTACTATTTTAGCAAAAAGAAAAACCACAACCCAATCTTCTGCTGTGTCTCTCCACCAATAATATCTCTACTGAAAACCAACCTTTTTTTTTTTTTTCTGCTGGAATGGACAGTGAAAAATCATGGGATATATTTTCACTTAAAAAAAAAATCAACAAGACATACAGTTTAAACTGAAACAGCCTCCCCAAATAAGAGCTGTTATCCAAACTATATGCTACTACTATTAAAATCAATTGAGAAGAGGAGGTCATGATATTTATTGCTGCCCAGAAGTTTACTTCTTTTTACTGTTACTTACATCATCTTCTTTGGTTCCACCCCAGAAATTAGTCCCACCAGCATAGCTGGGAATGTTTAGCACAGCTATGCCCTGCAGGCTTGGAAGAGGGATGTACTGTCCATCACACTGTAATGGATAAAAGCTCATTCAGTTTATAAATAATATGATAAAAGTAACCAACCATTTTTAACACATGAAGCTTCAACAGAGCTGACAAGGGAGGACAGAGTCATTAATAGGTCTGACACAAGACTATTCCCTCCAGGCAGTGAAGCACCTCTAATAAAAACCTCTTCTCCCTAGTCTTAGCGTTGATTTTTGCAGAGTTGAAAACCATGTAGATCTACATGCTGTAGTATCTACAGCCATGGTGTTCCATGACTCTTTAAAGAACCATTTTCACATTCCTTATTATGAAATTCCTCATGCACTTTGACCATGGTTTGTTTACCAAGGATTAAAAATCTTTTTGCAGTGAAAAAACTAATCTCCCTGAGTTCACACAAGTAAGATCGTCATAAACATTACAAAAAGATTCATTTACCCATTCAGTAACTAGTCTTGCATCCTATATCAGCATTCCCAAAATTGCAGCAGACTTGTTATTTAGGTAAATCCATCAAGCTCGGGGTGGTGTGTGTGTGTCAAAAATACCCAAGAATATTTCTGGCATAGCCACAAATGTTAATTGTCAGTGTTAGCATGTATTGTTGACTTTCTGTAAAAATAACTTCACCCTCCTCCCAAAAGTGCAAAGACAAATGTAGGACTGACCCCGCAGTTGTTACCCTGGCTGAGGCTGGGAGTTGTTGATTTTGCAGGTAAGAGGTCACTCCTATATCCAACTGTTCAGTCCTTTCTTACTGCTTTATCTCCCAAAACCCATAAGCAATGCCGAGTCCTACTCAACACGATCGTGGCATGACATAGGCCAATCTCATATTATTTGCAGCCAAGAGTAAATTTACAGATGTCAGTGAAATCACTCTTGACTCAGAGCAGTACAACTGCCTGCAGAGGTGAGCACAATGATCTCAAGCTACTCCACAGAGACTCAAAAGCGAAGTCCTGCAGCAGTGCCACAGGCATGGATTTGAAGTAAGTTGGAAATAAAAGGCTGTAAATGCTGGACTCAGGTGTCACTTTGTGAACCACAAAGTTAGAGGTCCCTGCCAGTCCCACAGAAAGATTTTTAAATTATATAAACGAAATAGAAATTTTCAGGAAATAAGGACAAATATGTATCAACTTTATCAGGAGGAGAACGATATGCAAAATTATTTCCAGAATGTGTATAGTGCCCTCTTTTTATGATATAATCTCAGCAACAAGACAGAATTTAACATTTTAATCAAGATGTGATGGTATCCAAAATATAGCGTGATATTAATAGATGCTGCACCACCATTTGGTTTATAGTGGAGGTCTGCCTCTAGCTCCTGAATAAGGCTGATATTTTGCAAGACAACACTAAATATGAAATTTCTACTTGCTGGCTTAATTCCAGAAATATTAAAAAATAATTATGGAAAAGTCAGCAGTGAATGTATTATCGAATCTTATTTGAATCAGATTCAAAAGACCCTTAAATTAGAATTCTGTCTGAAGCATACATAACATTCTTTCATTATATTTGCTATCTACTGCATAATTCCTTGATAATTACTCAATCCTTAGCTAACAGCAATCTGTTGCTACCAGACAAAATCCTCCTAAATCTCAGAGGAGTGAGAAAGAGTTCCAGTAACCTAAAATTATTCTTTCAACTTTAAAATTTACCCTCATATAAATATCAAGAACTTCCATATGAAGTACTTAGCATGAAATAAAAGAAGAAATTTTATATGTTCTCTGTCAAAATCCAGCTTAGATACTCTTTGGGTGAAAATAACAGTACCCATCCTGTAGTCTTTTTCTGCATTTTGTAATTATCTCCTTTAAGTTCCAAGTATCATGAGGAATATTTAGCTTTTATGTTAGAGCCTAAAAGACAAAAAATAGCTAGCTATGTTTAGACACAGCATTTGCTGTTGCTGTGATAATATCTTGCTTCTTTTGCATGACTACTAGGGAAAATCTCTACTGGTGTAGTTGGGCTTCTTGTGATACAATTCAGAATCTCTTCTCTTTTTTCAGGAATTTTTGATTATTTGTGTGCTCTCCCTATATGTGTAATCAAAATTTCAGATATATTAAAATGAACCTGAAGAATTAAGACTCCTTGTCTCTTTCCTTCTGTTTATTTTATGGTCATTTCTGTTGTTGCCCTTAAAACCTGGTCTTCCTTTTGAAGCAATGAACATTAGGAAATATATCCTACCTAAGCAATTTTTGGGGGTTTTTTAACCTGGTAATTACAAGAAACATTATATTGGCTATTTTGTGATCTTTAAGTACTGACATTTTACTCAAACACTGTACTTGGAGAACGAACTTTTACAGAGCACATCTTTATACTGTGCCTTTGAGGTCAGCTTGAGTTGATACAAGAATGCTAAAAGGTTTCAAAAAGAAGCCCAAATTCTTCACTGCACACTGTGGAAGCAAAAATACTTATTCTGTGCATAAATAAAATTTACCTCAAGTTGAACTTTTTGTTCTAAGTTCTTGTAAGTTCTCTGCAGTAGCTCTTTCGTGCCAAGAACTCCATACCACATCATGTTTTTCGTCCGACTCCTGTAAGCAAGTAAAACAAGATTCACATATTGAAATATACACATTATTGTGCCTTGTATTTGTAGGAAGAGAAACATTTAAGACATTCATATAAAGAGAGAAGGAAAAGAAAAGAATGGAAATATCTTGGCTCTGTTACTGACAATTATTTTACCTGCATTTTTCAGGGTGCTCTTCTCGCTTGTTATTAAATTCTAGTGAAATTTTTGCATCTAACCCAATTCCAAAGTAGTTGTTCATGACACATTTTTCTGAATATCCCTCCCTGTTAAAGGAAAAGAGATAATTAGGTGTACATTTGTACAGAACCTGGACACACAGCCACCTGTGACCAAGACTGTTGTTGGTCTCAGAACACAATATCAACCAAGAGATTTTAAGAGATCTTTCCTCTGAATCTCCCTGAGGAAACCCACCAGTAGTTGAAGAGACAGGTTGTATGACAGCTCCTTCACAACTGCAAGTTACTGCCCGTAGGGCAAAGGAAAAACTGTACTGCACCCCCATCCAGCACTATCTCAACTATACCCAAAACAGTGCAATTCCATGAGAGAGCTTCCCCAGGCCCAGCTCTGGGACAGCAACAGCACACCATGCTGAGCACCCAGGCTGTAGTTAGGCTTGCTGGTGCTAGATGTTTGGCTGATGCTGCTGGCATTGCAGGGCTTTGTTTTAAGGGAGCCATAGCCCAAAACCCAGGTACCACCCGTAAGTCTCTGCCAATGCTACACCCACTTCTGAGAAGCAGAGACAGCTTAGGACACAAAGTTTCCACCTCACTGCTCCAGTCCTTAGGGGATCACTCTTCTTTCTCCACTACGAAGTGCCCAGACCTGCTTCAACATCTTGCTGGCGGCTGAGCTTGCGTTCAGACCGGCGGTTTGGGCAGAAAAACCCAGCTCTGAAAGACTACTGTCCTCCTCCTCCCAGTGAGCAAGGGGTAAGTGAGCAAATGTCTCCTATTATTTCTGCTGCTGCAAAACAATTTTGCACTACTCATAACTAAATGGCATAATCCAACTTGTTTTCAGACATTGAGGTCTACTGCCAAATGATAGCAAACAAGAACTACATAATAAAAAAAGAAATTGTAAAAATGTAAAAAAGAAAGCCCTTAAGAAAAGCAAAGTAAAGCAAAACAGTACATTTGGGAAAAAAAAAAATATTTCTTACAGGGAATCTGGATCCGGGTCAATAAACGGCGTAGCACCAAATGGATCGATGTTTGCTAGCAACATTTTGCTAATAATTGAACTTCCTGCAATGGAAGCAGCTAGACCAGCCCTCAAACCTGATTAAAAAACAAAACAAAACAAAACAAACCAGAAAGAAAATAATAAAAAACCAATTTGTATTTGATAAACAGACAAACATATAAGCCACATACTGAGAAACAAAATTCATGAAATCTGTACAGGGAATGATTGTGATTCGATCTCAGTTTTTATCTATGTTGGTTATCTTTTCAGGTCTCTGGCTCCCTTAAGGAGAAAGTCAACTGTGCTGTGGTGTGGTGGCTGACTCTTCATGTACTACCATTGAAAAAGAAAAAAACAAAGAAAATTTAAGATTTCAGGCCAACACTCACTAGCTGGTAGAGTAACCAAATGGGTGACCTAACATCCAAAAAGAGTACTAGAGCTTTTTATTTAGTTTAATCTTCTCCTAACTGTCCATGATTTTTCTTTGGTCCTATCCTTTGGAAATATTCCTAAGGAATATCCTTACCATTTTTACAACTGGTAGAGCCGTAGCTTAACTTAGCTTAATTTGTGGAAAGATCACAGACTTGACACACCTACTTTGACTAATATCAATGTCATTCTACAAAATACCATATAATGCACGTAAACAAAGAAAAGCTTTCTGACAGCTTTCTCTTAAATTTGCCTAAAGAAAAAATGTAAGCTCAGTTCCATTATGTTTCAACTATACTAATAAAGTTAACAGAAAGCCAACTGTATCCTGGACTGTATCAAAAAAAGTGTGGCCAACAGGGCAAAGGAGGAGATTCTGCCTCTTTACTCCACTCTCTTGCTACCCTGCCTGGAGTGGTGTGTCCAGCTCTGGGACCCCCAACATAAGAAGGACATGAACCTGCTGAAGTGAGTCCAGAGACTGGACAAAAGGAAGAAAATTTTTATGATGATGGTGGTGAGACAAAGGAACAGGTTGCCCAGACAAATTGTGAATGCCCCATCACTGCAAGTGTCCAAGGTCAGGTTGAATGGGGTTTTGAGAACCTGATCTAGTGAAAGATGTCACTGCCCATGACAGAGGGCTGGACTAGATGACATTTAGAGGTCCCTTCCATGTCAAATCACTCTGATTCTAAGACCCTGAATGTTACTTTTCACCTTCCAGAATCAAATACAACACTTCTAATACTTCTGGTGTTATGTCAAATGATCAGAAATCTTCTACATTATTATGCATTTCTTCCTACATGATACAACACAAAGATGTGTATCTCAATTCAAACAAATTCAGGGCATGAAGTAAAAGTTATTTGACAGCAAGCAGGGGACTGGAAGGCAATATTAAAGTAGCTTAAGGAACAGCAGATTCCAAAATCATAATTACCTGGGCAGATAATCCTTGTGTTAAGTACTGGGAGGTTTTCCTTGCTTGCAGCCAAAGCTGGAGCAGAGAAAGAACCTGTCTGAGAATGGATACCTCGGCTTGTACGTCGATCGGGAGATCTTGGTGCAGTTTTAGCTGAGCAGAAGAAGCAAAAGTAAGAGCACTAATTAGACCTATTATGACATTACTACATAGTTTTGACGGCCCTGAAAATGTTTCAAAAGGGTTAATTTAATCTGTTACTATTCCACGACAAATCACACCAGAGTTTTTCTTCTAAATACAGGAAAGAAAACTCAGAAACAGAGCAAGTGAGAAACACAAATGAAAAGGAACAAGTGTGCACAGCACTCAACATGAGGAGTTGTCATTTATATTTCAAGCTACTAGCAAAAGTATCATATGTATTAAATGTAAATGTGTTCATAAAAATGTACTATGTCACCTTAAAATGCAGTAGTATTTAATGCTGCAGTAAGCTTCTTATAAACATGTTATTGACATAATAAAACTTGGACTTAAATTCAATCTATATTTACTTATAAATATAGATGTATTATATAGTACATTATTATTTATACCAACTTTAATATAGATAGCTATTCTAACACACAGGTCATGGAAATATCTCATCAACAGTCACAGTATTTTCTTCAAGCAGCTAAAATGGGCCTCCTGCCTGCATCAGGTTTATGAAAACATCAAACAAAACTCTGACATCTTTATTTACAGCCAAACTGAAAACTGCAGGGGAAGGTTAAAAGCTGTGTTCATACTTGTTTTTTGCAATTAGAGAGATAGTGGGGGATATCCGTTTTCCATCATCTTTTTTCACAAAAAAAACCAAACAAGCAAACAAACAAACTGGCAATCACCCAAATAATTAACTTATTTATTAAAATTCTCCAGAAAATCGACCAACAAAACCTTGACAGGCAGCAAGGTTTGGTAGCCAATGTAACTGTTGTTGACAAAGGCTCAGGAAGAAGAAAGAGAAAAAAATCAAGGGGAAAGAGAAGATATTCACAAAAGTAACTAGTAGCTCAGTGAGGCCAGTTATCCCCTGGGCTGCCTCTGGAGGTGATGAAGGATAGGCTTTGCAGAGGGCTGACCTCAGGTGCTGTAATTTGCTTTCCTGGCAGACCTTGTTTCATGCAGCCTGAGAGAATATGCCAGTGCCTGCTTTAGCCTGGGGAGGTTAATCTTTGTGTAATTCAGCCCAATCAGACACAGCCAGAAATTGGTGCCCAAGGAAGAAAGTTTGAGTATTACCAAATGCTTTGTTATAGCATTTCCATGTGCATGTAGAAAGCTTTCACACAACAGATGGTCACAGACAGACACTTCTCAGCTACCTCTGCTCCAAATTAGCTCACATGTTAAAACTACTTCAGCTTAAGGCAACTTCAACCTTGACCATCTGAAGAAGCTCAGAACAAAAAAAAAAAGAAATTATTTGAAGGTGATCTGATCTATTCCTTTCAAAACTAATTCAGCAAAAACAGAATTAGTAGGACTAGTACCAAAACAACAGCAGGAAAACAGCACCAGGAAAGTAGTGGTAAGGACAGAATATATTCTTTTTAATGGCTGGAGCAGGAAAGATCAGTTCATGCCAATCATAAGTCAGCCTGAGAGTAATGTGGGTGTAATGCATAAAGACATGAGTAGGAAAATCTAGAGACAGAAGTAACATCTAGAACAAGGATTTAGGCATTGTGTTCAAATCAATTCAGGCCAGAATTTGTGCATTCACTCTTTCTTTTTTTAAGTGATGATAATCTAGCATAGAACAGTCAATGGTATGGCAAGTTCTTCACTTTCTTGTTTCCCAGGAGTAAGATTAAGTACCTTTCTCGACAACCTACTAAAGTCAAACAGAAATTACTAAACATAGGACAGACAAAAGTGGATGGATTTTTCTGGACTGTTTTATATAAAAGGTCTGACAAAGCAGACTAACAGCTCCTCCTGACTTTAATATCTTTATAACAGCCACAACAGTTATCACAAAATCGTATAGTATTACATGATAGCAATACAACATAATGATTTGTATCTATGTATGGCAAAACACTGTAATAATGTCAAAAAATGAAAAGGAATAAAAAATGGCAGGAGATAGCTAATGAGAGTTATTAAATATTTAGATGAAGGTATTAACATATGGAAAAACATTATCTTCAACAAATGACCAGGAAGATCCTCAGAGGGTAAAATATAATACTCAAAACAAAATGAATATTTTTCATAATATTTCAGAAGTATTTTTCATAATACTTCTGAAAAATTCACAACACTATTCACACAGTCTGTCCTCTCTGTACTTGTGAGCAAGGCAGTTATATTAAACAGGAAAAATCAACAGAGCAGATGCTCTTTATTTGACAGATAAGAGTCATGGGAATAACTGCAATAAAGATAAACTTTTGCTGTGAATGCTCTGATAAAAATAATGGAGCTCTAATGAGTAAAACTGATGTTTCACTGCAGATAACTGAATTCATATTTCATGCTTTGTCCCTAAACATCTATCGTCCACTGACAGCATTAATATGCTCTCTATTTCACATAGATATATGAAGAATAATACAGCTTCCCATTAGATGCAGAAATTATACCACCAAGAAACAAAGGGTTCAATACATTTCTACACATCTGTATATTGTTCTTTTATTATACAGTTGTGGCAGTAGGATTGGGTCATCTGTAGGGCCAGCATCCTCTATGAGCTACTATTGTAAAGGGACAACCAACATGCATTAATTCCTCTAACCAAGGGAAAAGGGAAGGGAGTAATGAAGAGACAGTCACTGGATAAAGCCTGACATCCATTTCTGGAGAAAATGTGAGTTTCTGGGTGAAGAGAAGCCCTAAAAGCCTAATGTCTTATTTCTAAGGTAGGATCTAATGACACCGGCACCAGCTTCAGAGCAGAGCCTCATGAGGACAAGTTTTGAGGATGTTAGTGTGGCTTAGGGTAACAAAAGGTGATGCAAATCCCAAACAACTTTTTTCATTTTGCCACAAGAAGCTGCTCACCAAGTATGTACAGGATGGGCTTTGCTGTCCACCACCTACCGCTGTTTCTTTATGACTCACAGATCATCTTGTGACCTCACCTGCAGTGCATCACTGTCCACTTTGATAATATGGCAAAGACTGAAATTTCCACCTACACTGAGAAGCAGCTTTCCTAAAATTGCTACGTAGCTTGGGACTGAAAATGTCTATGAATAAGACATGCTAATGCCACCATTACCTAGGCTCTAGCTCCTGCTCAGGTTCATGTAGACAGGTGAGCGTAAACCTTCTCAGCTTTGCAAACACATTCCAAAAGACTGTTCATCTAATCTCCCTCATTTTTATTTCAACTTTTATTTTGCCAAATCTATTAAAATTTGTGAATAGTTTCCAGTGAAACAGGATGCTAATATTGTTAATTATGGGACCAATTATGCTCCAAATGCAACTATAGGGACACTACATATTTTTATTTCATTCCTAATTTTCTCACTTGATGGGGACTCAAGTTCCTTTGTATCTTCCTCTTTTTCCTCTTCCTTGGATTCATCCAGTTCTTTGCTGTATTCCACTGGAGATTGGTTCACTTGTTCTTCACTGTGAGCATTCTGCTCATCCACAACTGCTTATTAAAAGAAAAGACAAAGTTTCAAGATTTTTAAAGAAAAACTGCATATATGGAAAAACAACTTTTCTTTTTTTGGTAGCCTTAAGTTTAAAAATATTAACAAAAGAGTTCTATCGCTAATTCAGTGAAAGAGTCTATCAGTTCTCTGCAAGTGATAAAGACTTGCTGTCAGAATTTTTGTGGGTTAAAATAGTTAAAAAAATTGCACACTTTCATGTGTGCACACAAATGCATATATAAGTATTCAGACCTGCAGACAGACATCAACATTTGAACAAGATGCATTTCTTTTCCTTACAGCTTGTAAAAAGCACATAATTTTATCTACATAAGAATGTAAAAATAAGATTTTATAATTAAAACTTATTCCAGTTAGAAAAAACAAACATTATGATCCTATCATATTCTACAAATACAGATCAAAACGTCGCTGACATGCACCTTTTTCTGCTTGTTCAATGATCTGCCTCACAGCCTTCTTCAAGCTGTTTGCTCGGAGCATTAACTGTTCCCTCGGTTTGAAGAGTTTCTGGGTGGAAGACTTTGAGACACACTCCACTAACTGCTCTTTAATTTCAGAAAAGGATTCTTCACTTGAAAACTCCTCTGCTTCTTCTTCCACAATGGGGGGAGCGATGCCTGGGAGAATGGGAGCAGCCTGGGCTTCCGTGTGAAGAGCCTGGAGCAATAGGTCTAGCTTCTCATTTAATTCTGAGCACTAAAACAAAGTGGAAAAGAATACACACACACACCAAACACACACACACACACACACACACACACACACACACAAAATCAACAGTGAACATGTGAACATTTTAAAGAGTTAAGGTACCAGGTCATATTTGAAACTGTAGGTGTCTTTAGAGTCTGTGCTAATTCCTTATGTAAAATCCAAGTTGAGGTTCAACATTTTGGAATATCAGATTGTGAGTAGGTCTTCATGGTTGGTTTTTTTTTGCAGACATACTCTGTGATACTCAACCAGATTAGAGCAATTATAGATACAAAAAATATATATCTACATGTATATATATATATATATACAAAAAATGACACAAACCCCCTACAGTCAGATTAAAATAACACACCATGCTAAACTCAGCCTGCCACATAACTAGGGTACAGATTAGATCTTACTCCCCTCCCAATGGCTTGAAGCACAGAACACCACCAGAGGTTTGCTCATACTGTTCATTATGGGTGCTCAGTACCCCATTTTGGAGAGATAATCCATGGAGACATGACCAACTGTTAATCAGATTGAGACACACTGGGTTGTTTTTGCAAGAGAACTGTACATTTAAGCAAGTTAGTTGCCACACAGCAAAAAACCAGACACTGTCAAACACCTCTAGCCAATAGTAAGTAGCTGCTCTCTCTAAGTGCACTGGAAATGAAGTGTTTTCTGTGCTTAAAAGAATGAAAACCAACACTGCCTGGCCTTCGAACAATAAAAAAAACCAATTTCATTTTCTAAAATATGTACCAGACAGAAACATGAACCACAAATTGCCATTTCGCAAGTACATTTTTTGACTAGGATTGTCAGGGGTTTTGTTTTCTTCTTTTTTTTTTTCAGCTTTGTGTCTCATACCAAATCCTTCTGTTGTCTTTTCCTCCAATGTTTCTGCAAAATGATCTCTACATTTTGCAGCTTAAACCGCTATTTTTAGCATTGTGATCTCTCTCTCCTTTATTCTCACAGCATACTCACTCTTCATTATCCCATTATTTTTCTGTAGCTAACTTAATCCCTGTAAATCCTAATGCAAAAAAAATCCTTTCATCTCTATGTATGCTACCATGAACTTTATCCTTTATGAAGGAAAAAAGTCTAAACAGTTTATAGAGATTCAAAGACAGTTTGGAAATAACTGTTCTATGCAGCAAGAAGAGAAAAATTTTAAAGTCACTGGTTGAAATGAAAGCCAGGCTGGGCATCCTGGAGCAATGTGAAAATTAAACATCCATAAGCTATAAATTTTAAAAAACCAACAACTTTAAACCTCAACATAGTCATAGTCTTACTTTAATGGCCATGGCATCAGCTTCCTCTGCATTTTCCATCGGTTTTTCGTAAGTCTTCCCTATTTTGGCAACAAAGTCCTTTACAGTTTCACATAATATTCTTCAGATAAAAAAAGGAGAGGGGAGAAATCAAATGAAATAAAATAGATATGTTTTGAATGTTAAATTCTTATGACAATTTTTTATATGCACAGTGCTATAAATCATTCTTATTGGAAACTGAACTTTGTGATCACACTTGCAAATCAGATGACACTTTTTCATAGCTTGCAAAATTGAAGTGATAAGCTTTAAAACAAACATTCTTCCTCTCTTTTGCTTAAGCCTTTGCGCACATTGTATCTCAGTCTCTTATCTGAAATAAACATGACTGATTTTATCCATTCCCTTGCTTGTACACCTTCCATACCAGAGGACTTAGCAAACTTGCACTCACTGTGATAACTTCAAACACAGTCATGCCAACTCCCATGCAAAGATGCAGCTTAGAAACCATGGAGAAAATCTACTGAGTTGAATGGAGTACTTCTTAGATGAAAGCATATGGCCACACACATCCCATTGCACAGCTCATGCTCTTGAACCATAGCTGACCCTGAAGCCTATCTAGTGGCTGCAATGAATTTTGACTGTGTGAATCAGGAAGACTTGATTGTTATTACCTACACTGAAGACAGACAGCAAACTCACTAATGAGGTGTGGGTAATTGCTTAGTACTGTTCATTTGGTTGGCATTTATTTGACAGAAATTAAACATATTTAACAAGATACAGACCCAGCTTAGAAACTGGAGTTGTAATAATATCCTGCATCCTTATATTCTACATCTGCTATGTATACTTTTAAAATGAAATTTTGTTAACTTGGATTAACCGGTCTTTTGCATATTGCAAAATATGAGACTTTTTTTCATCGAGAAGGTATACACAGAATAGTTCTGGTTTCAGATGACCTCCATGATTAGCCAATTCTCTCTCATTTTAAAGTGTTTCAGTTTGTGGGAAAAAAAACCCATTACTGTCTGAGACCACTGTTGACTGAACTGATACAGACAGAGCTACAATAAAGCTACCTAAGCTGAAGTTCTGCTTCACGCTGGTGAAGCTGTTTGTCCTCTTAAACCTATGGGTATGCATTAAAAAGATACCCAGAAGAAATGCAATATGGAGTAGATCACATATTTGCATTAGTAACACTAAGTTTCATACTGAAGCCACACACTGATTTGGAGTGATTTTAAATCACTTTATATTAATATGGTGTGATTTTTTTTTTAATTTAGTATTAAGTAATCCGTTACAACTGCACCATATAAAAATTTTGCAGAAAAAAACCTGTATCCACTCTAAAAGACATAAATCAAGATATGTTAGGCCAAGCCAGTTGGGCTAGCCATAAGAAAATCAGGCTTAGACAGAAGGCTACTATGGTGATGATGTTACACAGAGAGTTTATCTCACACATTGTACATGACACTGATTGACTCACTTGGCAGATGATATGACAACTGAGTGCTGATCAGAATTGAGAATTTTTGCAAGATGAGCAGCAACTGAGTCCTCATAAGCAGATATCTGAAAACAGAGAGAAGAGACTTGAATTTCCACACATTTCAGCAATTTAACACCAAGTAGTGAGTTTAAACATCTCAAAAAAATAGCAGGATTTCCATTTCAGATCTAATACAAGGACAAGTGGCAGTGCAGATTCCACCTGCATACTGTATTTTATGTGCCAGTTCTTTAATATTCAAAGTAACACTGCATCTGAGAACTTAATCCACAGCTCTTTTTGTCCTATAGAGAAAACAGTAATTTCTAGGCTGAAAAACAGTCCATTAGGCAGAAAAAAAATTTACCTTCTCCTGAGATTTATAACAACATAGAGTATTACAATCTTACATCTTTTATTTCTAAGATAAGCAAAGTTTTCCTCAAACTGATCAACTAAGAAAAAAAATCAAATGTTTGCAGTTATAAGCTGGAATTTTCTTTTTACTGTCAGATGGGCTCTTACTCCCCAGCTAACACAACTGAAAAAGGCTGCTAAACTGTATAATGTTATCAAAGCCAATCCTCACAGGGAAAACCATTTAGGGTTTAGTCTTTAAAGAACATTAGGAATTACAAATTCTGAAATACTCAGAAAAAGATTTGGAATGGATCAGAAGTGCACCCTCACGCACTATATCCTATCTCAAAATAGCTATGGATCCTGACCTCAATTTTTAAAGAAAATTCTAACCAAATTCCAAATTTAAAGCTAAAAATAAAAAATAAATACAGTTCTGAAATATTCTGATGGCTTCTCTTAAAACATCTTAGCATGTTTTTGTCCTTGATTTTGAACAGGTTGATATATCACTTTGTTTTTTCCTCCTAAAATCCAGCCTTCATTGTAGAACTCTGACTTTCATTTAAAGGGAAAAAAACATAAACACTGATCAGTAAGAATGAAGTAATGTTTTTCAAATATCAGTATAAAATTTCTGGAAACCAAGCGAAATTAGTCTCCTGAAACTACTGGAGGAAAGAGGAGAGAGAAAAGAATTACATATGTACTTCCATTTGCTTTTCAAACTGTGGTTTAATACAATACCTACTGTAAGGTTAATTATTATTTTTCTGAAATATCATACATCCATCAGTAAACAATGCAAAACCCCCATTAAAACAGAGATTCAACAAGGTACTCAAAACCAAATGTTACTCAAGTAGTGACAGGTAATATAGGCTTCAGAATATATTTTCCAAAACAGAAGTTTTATAAAAGCAGTTCCTTCCATTTTCAGAAGGGGCTAAAAAAATTTCGAAGCCAGAAATAACTAGAACAAAATGATGATAAAGACACACTTGAAAATTTTAACTATCTTGAAAAATTAGATAAGATAAAGCCTTGATCTATGTTGCTGACACCAGAAGCAGAGCTGTATGCAAAGCAACCCTGTTAAAATCCCAGCCTTTCTGCATCTCTTTATCCAGCAATCCATCAAAGGTTACAACCTCCTTGCCAATTAAAAGAGCCTGAATTATTAAATTATTCAAGAGCCTGCTGATTAATTATTGCTTCTCAAGTACTTTTGAGCTAAAATTGATATGCATTAGCTTTCTTAGGAATATATTATTTTCTCATTTTTAGTCAGACTTTTCATTCCAATTAATTTGATTAAAACATCTCCCTCTCTCTCAAAATTGAAACTTCATCAGATAGTACAAGCAAAAATCTAGTCTGGAAGACAGACTAAGCTTTTCTTTGATGATTCTTACGAATTCAAGCTTTCTGAAGAACAAAGAGAAAGTTGGATCATACCTGATCAAACTCAACATGCAAAAAAATTCTCTTTCTTTAGGAATACAATATTTTATATATAATGTATTTAAAATATTTATACACATTTTATATATTTATATGTTATACAGTAATATAGCACCAAATTATACAAAAGTATATATAACATATACTAATATATAATAATTCTATAAAATATATAGTAGTATTATATGACAATTATACAACACTACATTCTTGCATAACAAATTATATAATATGTAATTTCTGATACATATTAAAATATACATATATATTCAGGAAGAAATTTTTCTGACTGCTTTGATGAAGACTCCTTACCTTCATTCCTTCTTGGTAAATAATACAGAACCAGAAATACTAATTACTTGAGATACACAGCATGAACAGACATAAATTCTGTTCAGTTAGCAGATCACAAAACATCTGTTTCTGTTTTTCACGAAAATGCTTCAATTACAAGTATTGTCAGCCCAGAAGCTCCAAGTTAAGTACATGAAACAATAGAACAAAAGTAAAAGTCCACCTGGCACTCCTCTGACTCTTCTGCAGTCACTGGAAGAATAGAAGGCTTTGCTGGTAATTTCAGTTCATATGACATTATACTCCACCTGAAAGAATCATAACAGCTTTGAGTTTCCAGTTCATTAGTTTTATCTTCTTTCTGACATATTAACAAAAATAAAATTCACTGTCACACCATAGATGGTTTAAAAAAAAAAAAAAAGGCAGCTTAACTTTTAATTGTATATTATATGGGTGAAATAATTGAAATTAACAGTAATAAATTGTCCAGATTATTTGTTAGTGATTTGGTTATTAGTTTCATTTGTGAAAAAATCATGGGACATTCAATAAAGACAATAAAGATTTTCTAGAAAAAACATTTACATTATAAAACAATTTGTGCAAACTAACTGCAGAAGTCAAAGGAAAATAGATGTCTTCGTAAAGAAAATGTTCTAAGGTGACATTTTTTTTCATCTCAGCTAGGGGAGGTAGGCATGAAAACAAGGAAAATGGTGAGGGATCTTCATTGACATATATATATATACATATATATTTTTTTTTTTTTCCCATGGTAAACAATAGCACTCAACAGCATAGATTGTACGAAACCACTAATAACAACATCCTTCAAAGCCTGTTGAAAAGAACAAGCATTCACTGCAGATGTCCTTGGGAGTAAGTCTACTGAAATTAGACCAAAAAATGAAACTGAGCTTTTTTTCAGTACAGAAAAAAGGAAACATCATTTAATCTACAAATCTTTCAGAATCTGAGGATCAGTAACACGCATTTCTTCACACACTTTGATTTAAAATGATCAAGTAGCCTGAAGAAAACCTTAAAATACAAAAACGACTTGTTTCTCTATTTCATAAAATAATTTAAAATAGAATTCCCTTTGATGACGTTCAAGTGTTTGTAACTAGAGCAAGAAAAGAAACACTCATGAGAGAGTACTGAGTGTACCATTAGCAAACTTGCAGATGACACCAAGTTGAGGGGGGAAGTGTTGATCTGCTGGAAGGCAGGAGGGCTCTGCAGAGGGACCTGGACAAGCTGGAGAGATGGGCTGATTCCAATGGGATGAGGTTCAACAAGGCCAAGTGCACTTCGGAGACAACCACCCCATGCAGCACTACCGGCTGGGCACAGAGTGGCTGGAGAGCAGCCAGGCAGAAAGGCACCTGGGAGTTTGGATCGACAGGAAGCTGAACATGAGCCAGCAGTGTGCCCAGGTGGCCAAGAAGGCCAATGGCATCCTGGCCTGTAGCAGGAACGCTGTGGCCAGCAGGACCAGGGAAGTGATCCTTCCCCTGTACTCAGTGCTGGTGAGGCCACACCTGGAGTGCTGTGTCCAGTTCTGGGCCCCTCAGTTCAGGAAGGACATTGAGGTGCTGGAGCAGGTCCAGAGAAGAGCAACCAGGCTGGTGAAGGGACTCGAACACAAGTCCTGTGAGGAGAGGCTGAGGGAGCTGGGGTTGTTTAGTCTGGAGAAGAGGAGGCTCAGGGGTGACCTCATCACTCTCTACAACTACCTGAAAGGAGGTTGTAGCCAGGTGGGGGTCGGTCTCTTCTCCCAGGCAATCAGCAGTAGGACAAGAGGGCATGGTCTTAAGTTCTCCCAGGCTCTCCCTCCAGGGGAGGTTTAAGTTGGATATTATGAATAAATTTTGTACAGAGAGAGTAATCAGACATTGAAATGGGCTGCCCAGAGAGGTGGTGGATTCACCATCCCTCGAGGTTTTTAAGATGAGACTGGACGTGGCACTTAAGGCCATGGTCTGGTAACCACAGTGGTGTTGGATCAAGGGTTGAACTTGATGATCTGTGAGGTCTTTTCCAACCCAGTTGATTCTATGATTCTATGAAAGGAACAGAGTAAGAAATATTCCTCTCAAAAGCAGTGCTAGACCTCCATTGGAACAACATGATCATCAGCCTCTCTGATTTTTTTCAAATGGGGATTGCTGCTTTCCTATGGATGGAAATCATGCAAAACAAGGATTGGGAAGGTCCATTTTTGACTAAGAAAATTAGCTCTGCATCCTGTCCACAGCTAATGCCTCAGAAAATTATATGAAGAGTGTAAGTACACAAAGTGATTTTTCCCCCACATCCAAGGACAGACAGTTCAGGTGTTTCCTAAATAAACATGCTACCTTTAATGTTGTTTAAAAGCATGCATGGAGTCCATAAAACTGCTCAAAACACAATTTCTTAATGCTTAAAACTTCTTTTAACAGGCAGTTATGAAGTTTCATCAGTTATGCAAGAAAATGTCACCTTCTGAATGTCTTTGGACAATGTTTCCTAGTTCCATCAACCACTCGTCCATCTGACTCTACAGTTTACAAAACATGTTAAAGAGCTGTCCCCATTACTATCTCTGTCTCCCTCATGATTAAAATCTGCACTTAAAAACCAAAACCACTGAACACCAAGTCTCTAAAATGAATTTTAGGCCATCAGAAAACCAAACAAATACAATTTGAATCTCATGGTAAATCACATTTAGGTTTACCTGTCTAACATTTTCGTGCTGGCTCGTTCTAGCTTTTCCAAAATCTGAGGAAGTTGCGTATCATCATCACAGGATCCTCCCCAACCAAGGACACGAGCAAGGTCATTTCCAGTACCAAGGGGTAACACTCCTAACTGACACTGAAACACAAACAGGAAAAAATCTACTACTGAAAACTAAAAGGAAAAAGTAAAATGTGATTCCAAATGCTGCTTATTTCAATCAACTAATATTAATTATATAGGACGTCTAAAGCATGTAAGTCAAATTGTGCGATTCCAATACAACTTGTCCAGTAAAAAATTTCATTTAACAGTAACTATGGAGTTTGGCCCATCTACAGAGATATGACAAAGAACCAAATCAAGGAAAAGGTAAGCACACAAAATTAAATCTAGTCAGTATAGGCAAGGAAACTAAGTATGCACACTTGCCTGCTTGTGCAAGCTGAGCTTATCAATTTCTGACAAGACCCAACCCACGCTTCCATCGCCACCACACACAAGAATCCTGAAGTTGTCAAACTTCTGAAATAACCGCAAACTGTAGAGAAAATGCAGCCTGTTAGAGCCAGTTATGTCCATTGGCAAGAGAGCAGTTCATTAATTAGCAACTGCCGTGAGAAAACATGGTGCATGGCACCTTTATGGTTCTTCTTTTATTGTTCTGGGATATGCAGATACAACCATCTTCTTAATTAACCTATCTCCAGCCCACCCATTGCTGTATATTCCACTTAAACTGACATTTCTGATAAATAACATGCCAAGTTTTTCTTTAAAAAATTCTCTTGATATTGTTTTCAGGATTTTATGTCTTTTTTTAATTAATTTTATTAATATATAAAAAAAATAAAAATCTAAGTAATAAAATTGCAATTGCTCCATGCTTCTCACTTCAGTCAGAAGCATAAGGCACCACTGGGAACTTTTCATGAGAAGAGGTTAAGACACAATGATAGGATGTGCTCCACAATACGGGTGGGCTTTTGTTGACACATGGCTAACTAAATGTAAGGACCACTGGAGGCAATTATTAAACATAAGGTGATCACAATAATATATGACAAATAATACAAGTATTTTATATTAGATCCTTAAAACCGTATTCTGCTTTCACTTCCTATGGCTCTTCCTCCTGTTCTCTGACTTTTAACACCTCCAGGATACAACACTTAGACAGAAAAGGAGGACAAGAGAGACAGAACAAGCAGAAAGGTGAGACACAGAGGAAACAAGAATGAGATGTGAAGAAACAGCCAAGTGTAAAAACAACAGGGACTTAAAGTGGGGGAAAAAAAAATTAAAAAAATAATTGGACAGTATAAACTCTTAAAATATTAACAATAAAGATGTTTATTTTTAATGCATGTTATTTTCCAGAATATGTATAATCTCTGAACCATTTTTACAAAGCAACATATTAAGATCATAAATGTTTGAAGTATTCATATTTTTTATGAAGAAAATAATGTCAATTGCATACAATACACAGATACCTATTAAGACCAAAAGAGGTAGATATTTAAGGGGGAAAAACATTAATAACAGAATAATTTCTCCTACCCTGAGAAAAGGGAGAAAGCCCCTAGAAATACAGTGTCTCATACAATGAAACTCTGCCTTGTAGATCAATCAGAAAAAAAGAAGGCATCAACACAACCTGATAGAATAACTGCTAAGGACCTATCTTTTAAAAGCAATCAATCTGACCTACAATTACTGTGCAAAACCAAAATGAGCCTCCTCAGCCATGGTACAACTATATGAAGAAAGAGAACTTGCAAACATATTTCTCAAACTGTCCTCTCACAAAGACTGCCTCACCAATTAAGATGATTTTTATATGTCATTATAATTACATGACAAAATATTAGCTAAAAGTCACTTAGATTCAGCTCAGATTGTCAGGGCAATAATGAAAAGAATATTACAACTTAGAGAGTTAATAAAACATGTCCATAACACAGTACTAATTATAAAAATCCACAGCTGTATTCCATTATTTTTGTATTATTTGCCCACTGTTTGAACTGGATTTTTGCGCATTTGTTTCTTCTATGTTTTTACCATGAAGCATAACTCTGCATCTTCAAGAGTACAAAAATTAGTGCTTCTAGTTGCTATAACTTATATTAATAGGCCATTTAACCACAACACTACATCTGAGTGGAATTAATTTGGGCAACAGAAATTGGGCATGAATTTAATCTTTGTGAATGTGCAAAGATGCCTGGGATGTGGCCACCACTATGCAAACTTCATCCCTATCTCTCCAGCAATCACTCCTTAGATCCCGCCTGATAGTTTTAATTGTGTTCTTGTTCCAAATTCTACGAGATGATCATTTTCTTGACCATTTGCATATGTTGCCTAAACATATTTTGGATGTACTTTTCAGAAGACTAAAGTTTTCATGTACTTTTCCATCAGCCACTGCAGACTCCCCTACTGACATTTGTGTTCAGAATTCAAAAAGATACAGAGCACATTTAGACAATAATTTTATTCCATAGCTATTCTCAACAAAGTCATAGGAATATCTGAATTACACACATGAAATGGAAGAAAAGCACCCAGGCAACTGTGCATAGAGCCCTGATGCAGGAAGACATCTAAACATTTGTAATAGTTTTGAGCCTAATCAGTTAACAGAAGTCAAAGCTAGTCAAAGCTAACCAAGAGGTTTGGGTTTTGAATTTTTGAGTTTTCCTAAAAAGAAAATATTATCCTACAGTCCCTTCACCTACCAGAATTTATCCTGAAATTCTGTTATCTCTTAGACTTTAATTAGGAAGACAGAGTAGATATTGGTGATAGAATTATATCAACAAGGGGATATAACACTATATAGCAAGGGGAACACAACACTATATTTTGCACTAAATTCCCTTGTGAGAAGGATTGCTCAAGATTTCCAAGGTCATTACCCTAAGTGAGGTCCTCCATTCATTAAATCGAACACCTGAGCTGGATTTAACGACTGTTTGAATCGACGAAGAAACTTTACTCCCTGATTGTCTCCACTCTTTGAGTTAACAAAAACTAAAAGAGGACTGGCACAGGATGGCGGGCATGTGGCTTTCCAGAAACCTGTGAACATAGTTAGAAAGAATGAAATAAATAAGATTTTCTAATATGAACAACACAAAAAGAAATCATGAGAAAGAGGAAGGAGGGGATGAAGGACAAAAGGAGTATATTTTATCATGCATAATGTAAATGCCAAACTGATTATTAGCCCTGCAAGGAAAACAGAATTGTGCAAAATCTACCGGTTCATTTTTTTTCTTTCTGTTTTTTTCAGTGCAGAGATTTAGTAAAATCCTGAAGACAATAGCATTATTGTTTTTCAACAGTGGAAGTTTATTAACCTTTTAGAATACTTCTCAAATCTCATCTTCACAGATTATCACATAATTAAATATATATTGTAGTTACAAGTTACAAGCTTGGTTTTCGATCTTATTTTGCTTTAACTTAACTGGAATGAACTGGATCATCCACGTCTGTATGACCCTTCTATGAGTACTCACAGATTTTAAAACTTACTTGTACTCAATTCCTCCCAGGTGAGACTTTGCATAAGAACTTTCTTTTCAGAGTGAAGTTATATTATTAAATATAATAGAATCACTGATCAACAGACCTTCATCTGCAGCTCAAAGCTTATAAAAATCAATGCAGGTCTTAACTAACTACAGCAGGCTTTCTACAAGGTCCTTAGTAAGTAGTACTAAGGTACACTGTTGTCACTAACACGACCAGTCCGTGGAAGTAGTGGTTTCTCAGCAACACCTCAAAATCAGGTATCCCAAGTATAGGTTTTGACATTTGTCTCCAGCAATATTAAAATGACTGTTGTTTTTCTTACTACAAAAATACTAAAGCTACAAATAAAAAATTGGCATTAAAGTATGCTAATTTAATTCGACATTATCATAATGTCTAATTTAAAATAAGGTTTGAGTAATTTATTTAAATGCCAAGAAAAATAATTTCACATAGGGAACAATCTTCCTAGCATGAATAATAAATAGCAGAATGATGTCTAAGACATCACAAGCAAGTAAATAGAGTGAATATATACAGAATAAATAATCACTTTTACTAACTCCATATAACAATTCATTGAACTGTGTTATAGTTGTTGGTCTATATTCACTAACAACACAAACTACAAAATTAAAGCAGTTGAGATTTCATGAGACTCCTTCTTTAAATCCATCCTCTGCCTTGAACTGCTGTCTCCCACTGCTCATGCGACTCTATCCTGAGCCACCAAAAAACACCTCTGAATTTTGAACATTTGCTGGGTTTTTATCTGTGTGTTGCAGGATTCTTATGCTGCTTATATTTAAAAAAAATTAGAGAAGCTATGGAAACATTTCCTCTCTTAAGCCTGATAAAGTGGTTGTTGGATCTGAGCTGTTCAGCCAGCTTATCTCTGCATAATGCAAAGTTATCTGAAATTTGAAAATTCACAGAATGAGTGGTGCATACCAGGCAGGCATCAGCTCACTTCATCTGAGGACTATCATCATTCACTTGAAAAGTTTCTAGGGGACCATAAATAAAATGAGAGAAAATCTCTACTGGGGAAACTTCCAAAAATATTTTTAAAAACATGATGGCTAAATAATTCTCTAAAACCTTACATAGAAAACTATAGTTCTCTTTAAAAATTTTTAAGACTACATTCACCTGCTCAGCAGAAGGATTTTAGTCTTGTTTATTGATATGGATTTAAATAGACACTGCAAGTCCAGAGCTACCGCTGAGCACACTACAGTACTACGTACCATCAGAGTCTATACTGTTTAGTGCTGTTGGAGGTATGATCGATACCTTACATTGGCCAAGTGGACATTTACGAGGATACAGATCTTTACAGGCAGTGTGAACCTACAAAATAAACAAAAAGTTATTCTCCTCCAGTAGAATTTTGCGGTGAAAATATAACTGATACAGTATCTATGTAACAAAAATGGACTCGTATATAACATTTAGGTGTAGATGGAAGAGGAATGAGACTATAAAAAACCCACAAATGTTCAACCGCAAAGGCTTGTTACTCATTCAACAAAAAATTATTTTATAGAGCTTCATCTTCGGTTACGCTTATAGCAGATATGAATTGTCCTTTCAAGGGAATCGCTTCCCCATCCATGAGGGAAGGAGAACCAAGTTCCCAACAGCCACCATCTGTGTTGGTGGCAGCAGCCACCCTCTGCACATAGCTCTGTAACTGCCTGGCCCACCAGGCTGCTCTGGAAGATGTATCTGCATTAAATCTAGCACACCTACCAAGCCAAACAACCTGCCAAAGGTGGGTCCCCTGAACTCCGTGTCGTAGAGGTCTCTTCCACAGATACTGGAAGGAGAGGCATATGCAGAGGTTGCTGCACTTCACCTAAATTTCAAATCACCTCTGGAGATGCCAATCATTTCCTACTGCCTACACACAGAGCCTGAAGCTTCAACAATAAATAAACTGCCAGAAGCTTCAACAATAAATAAACTGTTGACTTGCATAAGAAACCCATCTTTTTAGACAAGTTTATAAAATAAAGAGAAAACTACTGGGGAAACAGCAGTAGTATGTTACAGAATTTCAATCAGCAACCTATAGATTGTACTGAAGAAGAGAAAGTTAAGATTTTGCACTAATAAAAATATTATTACACTAATATTAATAAATATTAATATAACATATAAAATACAAGAAAGTCACATATGATTATTAGGCTTAAGGAACAGGCATCTGAACATTCAGTTATCAGCTAGGAGAAGGCAGAGAAAACACACTGGATGACAACACCTATTAAAGAAAAGCTGCATCTGTGGACATATTAAAAATTAAATGAAGCAGGTAGGACAGTCATCAGAAATTCTGAATGTTAGAAAGACCTGAGTTTGCAGAAGCTGCCTGCTCCTACTTAATCTAAAAGCACAGTTATGAAATGACAAAATAAAAATAATGTTGAGCAATAAACCTGGCAAAATCCTAGATGCTTGGACGTGGTTCACTGCACCTACCATAGCTTTACACCAAAGGCACTTCCAATCTTGCAGACGTAAAACACTGCCACAAGTCTTGTCGCACACTGCGCATTTGGCACTGACAGGCAGATTACCCTCTAACCACTGGTGAGGCATAGCTATCTGTGGAGAAGCAGTCATCAAAGTTAAATACTCAGAAATTAAAGGCTTTTGTCTTTCAAATATAGGTGGATTTAAACTATTTCTCACAGCTGTACCCTTTCATCAGAGAAGCAGCTGGTCAGCCAGGACAAGTGACACTGATGCGCACAAGGCAACAGTAATGAATGTGGACTACTGTGGTGTTTCACGTGCTAGGCAGAAAACATGACACCTGAAGAGGGGAGACGCATCTAAATCATGGTACTGTGGTAGCAATTAACCATGAAACAACAGAACAGTTAAATCCGGACACTCAGTAACACAAACAAGTTCCCATTCAGTTAATGCTGACTACATGACACAAACCAATTAAAAATAACTAAAATTCAGAAGAATAGGCAGGACAGAAAAATACTTCTATGGCTTTACTTACGCACTCACCACAGCTTTATAAAGCAGTCTCTAAATGCTGTGCAAAGCTTTACTCAGAGCACTCTTTGTCCTATTAATACCACAGGCAACTCAGGACTCTCAGGTGTACAACACAGTACTAACCTTCTAGGAAAAGGTTTCACACCAGTGGCTCACACTTGGTTGTGTTTTAAAAATAATTCATCTATCACAATAAACCTCTCAAAAGCTCTTGTTGTTTTCTCCCGTTAATTTTAAAATTCCTGCTTTCATCGCCAAAAAAAACGCCCTGCAATCCAGTGAGTTCCAAGCAGGCCTCCTGGGGAAGAGCTATAGGTAGGAGGACACAAAATAGATTGCCAAAACAGCATGGTAATAGTGCAAAATATCACCTTTGCTTAAGAGCAATAGGAACTTCTGGGAACAATTCTCCAGCTTCAGTTTCTCTGCATGTGGCCTTTAAAAGCTTGTCATACAGCTGCAATCTAGTGCCTGCAGTTGCTAGACTTGTCTTGTGAGATAGGAATATAACTTTTATTCTAAATACTATGTTAATCTTTGAGAAGTGTTCCGGAAAATAGCCACCTATAATTAACTTCAGTGGGTCACATTGCAATATTTCTGTGCTTAGCCTTTTTTTCTTCCCCTAAAGATGAAACAGCTTTGGAAAATACTGTAAATCTGAATAGTACTTACACCATCTTCATCTTCAATGATGTCTTTTCCTATTGAGGCTAATGTGGTCCATTTGCAGTTATTTGTTGCTCGGACAGCACATCTTTTATGTGCTTTAAACTTACACACTGGAAGACACACAGAAACACACATACCGTGTTATTTGCTGCATTTCAGTGATACATAACTTTTAAAAAATTAAACACAGACATTCCATAAAACAGCCAAGCACATATCACCCAGTGTTGCACACAAGGCACTACCCTAAATGAAAATTCAGTTCATAATCATTCCAACTTTAACCCTCTAAACTGGGTTTAACTGCTTAGCTGTAGCCCATGCTAACTTTGTCCTCAAATCCACATCAGTCCCCGTTTTTTCAGGTGCAAGGTACAAATATATCTTCAACTATGGTTTTGCTTTTTCTATTCCTTCAGTGACATAACTCAGATGTCTGGTTTAAATTTGCAAGAGATGATGGGAGAGTGTTTTACACAATTATTTTGAGTCAGGAGCTCTGTTTCTTCACTCAAAGGATGCTAATGGGGCATCATACTAGGCCTGTTTTATCAGAAGATGAGAAAGTGAGGGGTTAGGTGTTGATATTTTTATTCAGGATACTGGAGGTTACAAGATTTTTCAAGAGCTTATAATAAATGAGGATGAGCCTGGATTATTTACTAACAGTCTACTAACTGGAATATCCATCACAAGTGTGTAGTACAGGCAGACATTTTGACAACCTAATAACTGAATTTGTTCAACACAATTAATATGACTAGTTAATGATGGCATATTAGACCAAACAGACTGATGCACCCAACTGTGGGTACTTCTTTTACTGGAAGTGCATGACATCATTCTATTTAGAGTGCATTATATAAATTATTTTAGCAAAGAGCATTAAAGGTTTATGAGAACTAGCCAGCAGATCAGAAGTAGTAGTCTCTTTTCAAACAAATATTTGACAGGAAATTGTCAAAAGCTTTGGCCCTTTGTTTATCCACCATTAAAAAACATTAAGCGTTGCTACAAAAGGTCTTGTAAATAATAAATTTCCCATTTTAATTCCACTGATCCATTGCCAGATCAATTTAAAAAGTGAATTGAGACTATGTAACCAACATCTGAGTTTGAGAGCAATCCTCACTGTTCTGGGAGATGTGTGAAAGTAAGTGCTCAGCTCTCACTTTCTTACTTTCTCGAAAGAAAGAGAATGAAACAAAACAAAACAAAAGCTCTGTTGCTTTTACAGTAACTCCCCTGGTCATTTCAAAAAGCATCATTCATAGAATCATAGAATTATTTGGGTTGGAAGGGACATTTGAAGATTATTTAGTTCCAGCTCCCCTGCTAAGGGCTGGGACACCTTTCACTAGATCAGGTTGCTCAAAGTCCCACCTAGCCTGCCCTTGAACATTTCCAGGGTTGAGGCATCCACAACTTCTTCTTCTTCACCACCTTCACAGTAAAGAATTTCTTCTTAATATTTAAATCTACTCTCAGTTTTAAGTCATTCCCCCTTGTCCTGTCTACTACATGCTCTTGTAAAACAAGTCTCTCTCCATCTTTCTTGAAGGCTCTCTTCAGGTACTGAAAGGCCACAACTACATCACCCCAAAGCCTTTTCTTCTCCATGTTGAGAATCCCAATTCTCTCAGCCTTTCCTCACAGGAGAGCTGCCCCAGCCCTCTGATCATCTTTATGGCCCTCCTCTGGACTCACTCCAACAGGTCCATGGCTCTCAACATAAGAAGGACATGAACCTATTGCAGCAAGACCAACACAGATTCAAAGTGTTCAAATATCAACTAACGGGGTAGGCTCACATTTTCTAAACAGCTGTGTGTTTGCCAACTTAAGCTGGTTCCAAGCATCTAAAGAAGTCAGCTCTAAAAAAGCACAGAAATAAAGGCTGTGTTTTCAAGGGATGGACCTTCAGCAGTTTCACCATTTGAATGTTTTGGAGAAGATTTGCCACTGAATTCAGCTTCCTACTCATAAATGATATGCATTTGCTTTGCTGCACAGATCAAAATGCAGCAAAGCAGAGATGAGCAGGAATAGGAAATTACGAATTTTCAAAGGGATAACAAAGTAATGGAATTTTTCAAATCCTATTGAGCTGTAATTCAGCTAGATCTTAGGAACCCTCTATTGAACCTCTGCTCTCTCAACAAGGCAAGGACAAATTCAATCCCAGGATCTGAAGAGCAGCAGCAAGCTACACTTGCCATAGATGGCAAGTGACAGCTAATGTTTGCTTTTTAAGTACAGTAAATAACCCACCTACCAAATTTCAGATCAGACTTTGTGGGTCACTCCCCTGCAACCTCCATACCATCAAACAACGTTTTATGTTACTCTAAGCATTAAACATTACCAAAAGAATTGACCTTAGGACACAGATGTAACTTTTAAGCAAGGAAAGGAAAATTTTAAGTAAAATCTCCATCTTAGTTACCATTATCCTCTAATTTCTTTTGTCTCAGATTACACTACATCTCATTCATGAATCAGTCAGATGTCTGAAATCTTCCAGAAAACATACAGACATATGGCTAGACATCAACTGCTGTTACTTTGCCAATGAGTCAAAATATAAGAAAAGGAAAGATTTAGCCAAACTAAATCTAGAATATTCATAGCATGTTATTTTAAACTTTAATTTCTGTGTAAATGTTTATAACTGAGATATGAAGCAGGTATTTCAGAAAGTCAACCAACACAACCACTTATTAGCAAACAGCTGCCACAGTGGGACCAACACCTGCTGTCAAACAGAGGGAATAAATCAAGACCTATTACTATCCTAATGAAGAAAAGTCAACATTACTGAATGTTATCATAGGATCTCTTGTGCTGAAAATCTACGCCTTTGTTATAGAATATTTCTGTCTCAAAGGCCTTTCATTCTAACCACCCATCAATTAATTCAACTACATTGGGAGGGCACTCAACTTTTTTTTCCTCAAACTTACTCCTCTACCACCTATTTTATGAAGAGTTTTCTCTTCTGTGTTCTTCAAACAAGACCAGGCTCAGACTATTCTTGTCCAACTTCAAAGACCAATCTGAAGATCCTTGATCTGGTATCTATAGTTTGAGTTGTTCAAGATGGTAGAATTTGTCTTCAGGTATTCTAAGAAACCTGGTGTCTTGTTCCCAAGAACACGATCACATGATGGATGAACGAGCCACAGTGAAAACAGACTACTCAAGTGAAAAGAGCAACCTAACTTAACCCCAAAGTGAAGCTTACGTCTTTGTTACAAAGCATAAGAAGCGGTTTCTTGGTAATTTTTACTATTTTCCACCAAATAAATAACATTCTAAGTTGATTTAATATCACAGAGTGCTAAAAGAATACTCATATTACAAATTCAAGTATTATAAAAAGGTAAGTTACTCATGAAACTTAACACTGCAATATAGCTTCTGAATGCAGGTGTGAAATCTTCAGTTATATGATCATACATACTTGGAGAACAGGACCCCCAGTCATTGCATGCAATGGATGGCAGGTAAGTATGGAACTGTGCCATACTCTGACTCATAATAATTTTCAACAGGTATTTGCATTATTTACAAAAAGCTAATGAAATACCGCTTTTTAGACACCCATATTAATTTCTTCCTGCCCTTTTAAAAGTATTCTTCTTATTTTTATCATTATTATTATTATTATTATGCTCAGTACTACTACTGCAATTAAGACTTTTTTCAATACTGTATATATTCAAAGTATCAGTGACTTCAGAACAGCTTCATCTGATTTTTGCAGTCATAGAAAACTTAGCATTTCTGTGATACACATTGCAGATTATAAACAATACACAACTACTGATTTGATAAAAAAATCTTTAAATTATTTCCTCAGGGCTACAAAGGGGCTTGGTGTGTTACAAAGTCACAGAACAATTTTCTATGACTCCTTCATTTCTTAAAAATGAACATCCCTTCTCTTCCTGACTGTTTCATTCACTATTCACTCTCCAGTCTGTGCAGAAAATGTGACAAAAATGTCAGAGACAATGACTGTGCAAGTAGTGCCTGTACATTTCCCTAGGCAATATGTAAGAAGAACAGGGTATTGTGGGCAAAACCAGACAATCATAATGAGAAAATACCAAGTCCACAAAGTGCATTTAGAGAGGTAATTTAATCCCAGTATTTTCTTATTGATTGACTTCATGATCCTAAAGTGTGCTTTCAACATTGTTTGTTTGTGCAATTCATCACAGGAGAAAGCCTCTCATTTAAACTGCAATCTCCCACTTATTAGCTATGTTTGATATTCAACAATCAAAATTCAGCCTACATAAAGAAATGCTACATGAAGAAATAAATTTTTGAGAATAATCATAAAGGCAGTGTTCCACGGGCAACGACTTGGATAGAAATGCAGTATTAATACAGAGCATTGAGGACAGAGAGCTTTGAGAGAGTTTCTGGAGTTAATGATCTATTGTTCTCTAGCTCCTTTACCTGAACATTCCATGTATACCCGTGTTTACCTCACAACTGCTTAGGCTTAGACTCCTGACCATTCATCAGGTTAAACTCTGAGTAAGAGAAACACTTGAGGAGCATAAAAACCAAAAGCCTTCCTTGATTCAGCTAGTTTGGAGTAATTTATAAAGCAAGGCAAAAAAATCAAAATTTCTCTGTCCTAGTAAAGGCTGTGGATGAACATTGCAGGCATCAGTCCTTTACAGCTAGCTAGAGCAACACAACACACAGATAACATTTGAAAAGTAGATTACCTGTTGAGAACACACAAAAGAAGGAACTCATGGGAGGAATAGCATTGTATCTCAAAGGAGCATAGGATTAAATTTTTTAAAAGTTGGTTGTTTTTTGAGCAGTAACAAGAATGAAACCTGGTCTGATATATCAGGTTGACATACATATCAATTCTTTGACTTCTAAAAAGATGCAACTTCACACTAGTCTTTTACCTACATACCATCTTTTTCTACACTGGCTTCCACAAAATTTAGACAAATATCTTCAGGGTAGCCTGCAATTAATTTGATCAGCCTTTGCCAAAGGCTGCTGGGGGAGAAGGTACCCTGAAAAAAGAAGTAATCCATCTTATCTCCAAAAGAAATGAGGCTTGTTGTGTAGTCAGACTGAAAAAAAAACAGTTGTGCAGCACTGCTGGAAGCCATCAAATCTAAGAGAATAAAATATTACAGGATTGATTTTCTAAAGTATTAAAAGCTACAAAATATCAATGGGATTTATTTTTACCTATAGTTAGCAGACAAGAATCAGACCACAAAGACTCTAAGCTACTTTCAAGACAACTTCATGTACCAGTAAACCAAACCACAGAGAGGAGAAAGAGCTCAAATATCTCTTGAGAAGGAACTTCTCATGCTTCTCAATAAGAGGCATAATAGAGTAGCCTGGGATCAATGACCACACAAATAACTGAATTTAGTATAGATATAAATGGATTCCCAGCGTAAAGCAATGCTGGAGGTTTCAGACACCAGGCATGAATATTTAAACAGGTTTTTTAAATTATGTAATAGGAAAAAGTAGCACAGAACATGTCTGAGGAATCTTTAGACCCCATACTTCCTACATTGTCTCCTAAAACCATATATCCTGCTAACATGGGTAAGTAAAAAAAAAAAAAAAAATAGATGGTGAAATGCATTAGAAGTACACATGGCAGAAGCAAGTAAATATGATCTCAGTCACATAAGAATTTCAGAGAAAGAATATCAAAACAAAATACAGTTATTAGATGAAGAAAGTATACAGAATTATGGACCGAGTATGGAGTATTCCAGTAAGAGTTAAATGTCAAATGATTTAGATTAGATACATTACTAAGTTCTTCTTTTATTAATTAGAAAAAAAAAATTGGAAAAAGATAAAGAAAATAGATATCAACTAGTAGCTAAGAAGTAAGAGGAGGTACACTTATTAACAGACAAAAGAATATTATAGTATCTACATATAAAACATTCCAAGTCATACACGACTGTGAAACTGTGGAACAGCGAAAGCAAATCCAAACCACCTTCACAAGCTATTTGTAAAAACTGCTGAAAGATTAACTGGCATCAGAAATATGGATAAATGTAGCATAAGTTAATAATAACTTATGTAGAAAGGTGACAAACTCCAAACCTGGAAATTATGGAAACTTCCCTGATGTAAAGTTAATGCCAACAGTTTATATACTAAAATCATACTTGGAAGCAAAATCAGACACTGAAAAAACATAAAATGGTGAACTACAAACATTATCACTGATAATCTTACAAGAATAATTCTTGCTAAACAACCTTTTAAAATAGCTATAATATTAACTTATGAATGGATAAATTCTTTATGAAAGTCTTTCCTTTTCTTTGCCTCAGCAAACACAATTGTATTTGTACACAGAGCCAATACAACTGCATTTTAGTTACGCACATGATACTTCCATCTGCCAATATCAGACTTGAGAAAACCATAATTTCCTTAAAACTGTTCAAAGGACTTATACACAGTGGAAAACATGCACCAGAGAAGCTGGAAGTAACTATGCTACTCCTAATTTCTATGAAGCAGGTTTGCCCTGTTTCTTGGCAACTGTACCATTAGCTACATTTAAAAGCATGGACAATTCAGGACAGTGGGTTAATGCTTCCTTTTTAAGATTTCTTTAATACACATTACTATGCTCAGACCTCAAGTATTATAACAGCACCAATAGCTGAAATAAATTTGCTGTTGGGTTACACGCATCCAAACGTCAAGTAATGAATGGTGGAACTGCAACTCTTTTCTAGGCAATCACCTATATTAGTAATGAAATATCTCTACTTTTCCTATATATCAAAAGGTCACAGGGATGCTTTACTTTCTGCTGGATTGTAACACAAGCAGACTTGTTACCATTTTTCCATAGAACTTGCAGGAAAAAATAAATGAGCTGTTTCAGGCTTATTATAATTATTCATTCATGAAATATCATTTCTCTAGATAAGCTTGATGCTGAAGTCTTAGCCACATCTCCTTTTTCTTTATGCTGGATTTCACCTGTTGAACCACCAGAATGCAGTTATCTGCATCTCTACCCCCCTCACTGCACAAGAGAATTTTTGAAACAATAAATCTGCCCTCATCTACCCCGCATGTGCTGCAGAATCAGGCAACAGCAACAGAGAAAACAAGAATTGGAGAGGATGAGTTTGTAACACTGAACAAAATGTTAAGAATTTTTATAGATTTTGGGCAGAAACTACCATTATGATTTTTTTCCTGAGAAATGCTGATTCTGCAAATGAGTAAGATTATTTTGTTCCACATTTTTTATGTGCAAACCATCCACCCAGTACACTTCAAACTGGTTGCTGCAACAGAAGGAAACTGTGTTATTGAAAAAGGCCCCTTGGAGCACGAAGGTGAGCCAGATTCATTAGCAGTCCCTCTGCCCAGAGGAAGGTCACCTCTAGTGAATAGATTTCTCCCTTTAGGCTTTTTTTCTTACTATTTTCAGAATTATTACTCATATTGAACTTGCAGCCATCTGTCTACACATGTGGCATTATAAACAGGGGGAAGAAAACGTTTGTTTTACCTTCACAAGACAGGCCGTGAGAAGTGACTCCAGAGAGGCTCTCTCTACACACGTTACAGAAGGTGGGTCGGGCATGGGAGCAGGCGTACCAGTTATGCATCCCTGAGAAATGTTCCACATTAAACTGTGCGGTCTAGTAAAGGAGAAGTTAAGACAAATTTGCAAGTACAGAACACAGCTACGGTGACTGAAATTATGTACGGTTCCATATTACAGGGGACAACAACGCAATGTTCATCAAAAGTATTTTCCAGAGGATATTTAGCCTGCTCTCCCTCCAAAATTCTAAACAAAAGTATGATAATAAGCTCTCATTTTGCTAGTGAAGTTCTTAATATGAAGCTTCACTCTGACATGAGACACACTTTCCACACTAAGGAGGGTGAATACTCCAGTTCTGTGTCCTGTAGCTTGACCTGTTGAGCTAGAATAGGTTCCACCAAGAGGGATGTCAGCTTACCTCATAGTGTTCTCTGGACTGAACAGACTTCAGAGAGCTTATCCAGTCCTCCATTTCTTTTCTGTTCTCAGCACACAGTATTAGCCTCCGAAATGGAGTGATTATCTGAAAAAGATAACACATATCGATTAATACAGATAGTAAAAATCATGATAATGTACTCTTTCCTGTGAGATGATGTGACACACCCTATATCACAAGATATTAAATGCTTTAAAATATTTTCTTTAATGCACTACCAGCAACAAAAGGCTTTGCTTTTCCTTTTTCAGTTCCCAAAATTCAAATCAGCCTTTGGTATACGTCTCTAGACTCTACATTGATCATTCCCCCTTCTCAGCTCTTTGTCTATCCACTGAGATTTAAATACTCAAATGGCAGGCACTGAAACTGCTAAAACAGCCATTCTGGAAATTACTAATTGCCTAAGACTGCAATCCTATTTCATAACAGCATTATAGCAACTGCAAGGTCCATTCCAATGGCCAGAGACAAAACCATATCAAAATCGAAATCCTGCAAGTCTTAAACAACAACAAAAGCTGTCATCATATTTCTCTATCTTGGATATTGATATTAAATTTACACAAATTTATACCTATAAAAATTTAAAACAGAACTTTCTATATCAAACTCAGTATAAGAACACATACAAATCTTTAGAAAAATACACAGAGGACAAAAACAAACAACTGAAATCATATCCTACTAGGATGGTTGAATGAACTCCTGGAACAAGTCAATGCTGGGGATTTTTCAGTGGTCTGGAATAGGGTTCTAGAAATCTGAAAATACTGTATCAAGGAAGTTCAAAATATAAGCTGCTCTCCTCTCTCCCTAAACAGTAGAAGAACAATCAAAATAACAGGAAGGCAGCAGAAACTATCAGCTAACTCCCACTGAAATTATTTTAAGCACTGCACTAAAATAGACAAAGCAGTTAGTGACATAGCAAAGAATTTAAAACAAAGTAAGTACAAGAAATTTAAGGAGAGTTATTTTTTTTGTTGCAGGAAGTCTGAAAAATAAAGTTAAATCCTGTATCAGTCTTTAGCATAAATCTGTTGCATAGTATGTACCACCAACACCTGCAAATTACTTAAGTAAAACAAAGAAAGGACCACCAAAAAATGATAGCTCTGAGTATTCTTTTAAACGCTACAAGCTAGACATTGCAACATTTGCACAATATTAGTAAACACTTATCCACAGTTGCATTTACTTACCCAATCTCGGCTGTAAATAGTCTCTAGCCTTGATTTGTCCTATCCACTTCTTCATTAAACTGAACTGCACTTTAACATATCTCAGAGGCGACGTAAGTGAAGTGCAGCAAGCTGCAAGTCACATGGAGGGGAGGCAAAAACCCTGTAGGCTTGCTTTTGTTTTTAATTTTTTTTCCTTCCTCCTTTTTTTTTCTTTTTGATGTAATCACTTCACATGGAACAGAATAGTTTTCTGGTTTCTGTTTCCTTCAATCTTGCTTAAGCATTTTAATAAGGTTTATTAGTAGCTCTCCATGGCTCTTCCTAAAGAACAGTTTATGCAAAGAGCAATTCTTCTCTCATTAGTTTGGAGCCAAACAGACGCTTTATTACTTCAAAATGTTTTTCTAGGCCAGGTCATCAAATGAAGCCCAGAAAAGTCATTAAATCATAATATAACCCTGGCTCCAACAACAATCTGCATTCTGCTGGAATTTCCAGGTTTCAGTGGACTCAAAAATCTTATTTGTGCAAATACACACCACAGATTATTTGCTATTATATAGCAGGACATCGTAATATGGATTAAGTAATCTAAGTTCACTCAAGACTCTGCACTTTGCGTCCATCCTTCCACCATGGTCATTATTGATTCTAACCTGTAACCTGATGTTGTGAAATGCCACTAAGCAATAACATGCATTTATTGCTGAAAACTCCTAACTATTTTGATCTTTTAAAGTAATATTTACTTAAATTACTCACGTCTTCAATACTACTGGACACAGAAAAGTAAGGTGCATCCCTCTAGCCTCCCCTCTCAAAATTAAGGCCCTACTTCAGTTGTTCAAACCTTATTTGCATTTATACAGAAGGCATGCTTTCTTTTGAATGCTTACACAGTGTTAAGATCAACTAACTTAAGTGGAATGTTTAAAGTGCATTCATTGAAGACAGTTGAACCTGTATACAGACATAATCAAAATCAAATGGATGTAGTTATCCTTAAAGCTATTTTCCCAACATGTAAATTTGGATTTTACTAGTAATCTTATCTCATTGCATGTATTCATATTTGAAGTCCTGTATATTCTCTTCTACAAACCCAAGTCAGTATCTTTTCTTCAATTACATATTACCTTTTTTAAAGCTCTCTGCTCCAAATATTATTATTTATATATCACTCTAAATATGCTAAACTCTAAACAGACAAGAAGAAATTGTATAATACAATGCAAAGGACGTGTTAAAGGAACCACTGGAAGACCACTGATGTAACATAAGAATAAGAAAGCTCCTCAATCTTGAGGGGACTCAGGTGCTAATGGTTCATATGCTGACAAAGCAGGAGACAAATCAAGAAAGACGAAGACAGTCAAAGGGCCTTAAAAATAAATAAATAAAGCAGATTTAATTTAGATTATTAAGTTACTTTGAAAATTTTCACCATTGTCAAGTAGCCAAGAAGTCATTGCTGATTTTGGAAAAGAGAGTTACCAAAGGCAAATATTGCAGTATATTGGAAAGTAATGAAATAGAGGTAGTAGGAATAAAAAACACTTTTAACGCAGTACTTATTGGGAAAGAGTGAGCATATACTGTCTTAAAAGTTGAAGGCAAACAACACAAGTCCTAAAACATCTCAAGGAATAAAAAAGGTCTGAATAGGAAGAAAAATGGCCCATTACTGGAATAATGTTCCTGCTCTGTTCAGAAAATTATGGGACTTTTTTTGAGTGAGGAATGAAGGAGACAAAAGGAGGTCCGTCACCACATAGGTCTTGCCATAAATTGGGATTTTCACACAAGCTACAATAATTTGGCTTCTCAAAATATACACATCCTCATATATACATATGTATACAGACATCTTGAAATTACTTCGATGAAATTTACACAGTCAAGTGTAAATTGAACAAGTTTAATATCTTGAAAGGAAACAAAATTGCCATCAAATTCAGTGTAATTTTGAAAGCACTTTCTATTTACAACGGGCATAATTTTACCAATAACATTCTATATGCCTTCAGGCAAATGGATTTAGACTTACAATCTGTAAAATAAAATCATAGAGAGTTCAACAGAGGTCTATTGCCTAATTTTTAATATATTTTGTACTATCAGCAATATGTAAGAAAATACAGTTTTCAAACCTTGGTGGCTCCATTTCTGGTTTCTTTTATTAATTAAAAAATACAGACACTGTATTTGCTAATCAAGAAAACAATGGTCTACATCTAAGCAGCAACAAAGCAGCTATTGTAAAGCACTCTGCTTCCTGCAACATGATATTTGCATTAAGGCACCTTCAGCTACTCTGAACCATTATCAGGCATTACACTAATAGCACTTTGTATGGCTGATCTTGAATTAAATTAGTAATGTTGGAACATCACTTAGAATCTGAAAGGGGTGGGGAAATGGTTCCTGTTCTTTGGACAGATACTTTTAAAATATCTTTCTGGAAATAATGAAGAAAGGGTGATACAGAGAGAGCATCCCAACACTTCTCTTAGGGACTGCATTCAGTGCTTGGGGCAGGAACATAACAGATTAAATGCTTTGTAACTTCTCTGTGCTTATGGACATTGCTGAGTCAGTACTGGCAAATAGTAGGATAACACATTATGCCTCCTTTGCTTTCTGTCTGCCCACCCCTCCATTCCCCTGTCCTTGGGGACAGAGGTGGGAGTAGACTGCTGGTATCATGGATGCTCCCGTACCTACCAGAAGTTGTCTGAAAAATCACAGTGCTAACAGTTGGACAACTTTCAGTACTTATAATTTCTTGGATTCCAGATACTACATAAATTATAACAGTACTGTCACCGTCAAAGGTGTAGTTAGTTGGTGCTTTACGGTGAATCGTCACGATTATTTTTCAAGATGAGTCAAGCCAGGCAAAAGTATAAATTACACAGAGAGCAGAGGATTTAAAAGTGAGGCAAATAATAAATGGCTATTATATTTGCCTGAGTACAATACAGAATTTATAATCAGAACAATTAGCTCTGTCTACTCCACTAAAATGCTGCTTCCCTCTTTTTTCTGGCCTTCTCCTATTTCACCGTTGCCAAGCTCACAATTATTGAAGTAATGTGAGGTTTTGGCCCCCACAGTAAAAACTCTTACCAGGGGGAACAAAAGGGTTAGTCCCACACAGCATCTCCTGCACCAGTACACCAGAACAAGTGGGCTTAGATAGAAGGCAGGACAAAAATGGTTATTCCACTGAAAAAGGTAAAAGGTCTATTGTGACTTTATTCTGCCCTGATGAGGCCTCACCTGGAGTGCTGTGCCCAGTTATTGGCTCCTCAGTACAACAGATACATGGACATACTGTATACAGTCCAGGGAAGTACCACAAAGATGATGAAGGAACTGGAGTATGTGACATGTGAGGAGAGCCTGAGAGAGCTAGGGACTGTTTAGCCTAAAGAACAGAAGGCACAGGGGGATCTTATACACATAAATCCCTGAAGGGAAGGTGCAGAGAACTGAGTCAGGCTCTTTCCAGTGGTGCACAGTGAAAAGTTAAGAGGCAGTGGGCACAACCTGAAACACAGAAGTCTCTCTGTAAACATCAGGAATGTTTTACAATGAGGGTGACTGAGCACTGGCACAGGTTGCTCAAGGCACTTGTGAAATCTCCTTCCTTGGTGATACTGAAAAGCCATCTAGATCTGGGCAGCCTGGTCTAGGTCGCCCTGCTTCAGCAGAAAGGATGGACCAGATGACCTCCAGAAGTCCCTTCCAACCCCCAAATTACAATGTGATTCTGTGAAAAGAGAATCCACGTAAATCAAGTAATCCTGTTACAACATGTCCAGCCTTGAACTGCAAAAGTATCCAGCAAAGGTCGATTTGTCAGAAATCCAGTTCCCCAGATCTGACCTCATG